AAATGATTCTGGAAAAAAGAACATTGACTTGTCCTACTGTTGTCATTGAACGGTGTGACATTTTGTAGGATATCGAAGAGAATTCAAATACATTGGAGAAATGAACCTATCACAAAAAATAATGAATAAATAGTAGAAAAATTAAGATCGCTGGAGATTTCAAATATGTAGTGGCTTCTTGATAATGAATCATTCTTCAGTTCAATGTTTGGATTCATATTCAGTTCAATGTTTGGATTCATATTGTTTAAGTTATTATGAAAATTGTTAAGAACTTTTAAGACTTGTACTATATCATAATTGTATGATCTTCTTGGATAAATGAAGGTATTCTATTCTATTCTATTAATGAACATTCACTGCAGTGGTGGCTCGTGACTTCCATGACAGAGGAGGCTGAATGATATGAGATTTATTGTGAAAAACAACTGTCTACTCACCCAATTGATAGCTTTAATGACTTTCTGTTTACCAGTTAACCTGAACTTAGTACTTGAAGAGATGTGTTCCTGTGATTTGCAGTGTCTATCCAATCCGCGAGGCAAATTTTTCAAATCATTATATTCTAATCGCCCCCAACATGATGACTTATCGGTTGAAAATAATACGCAGTACCAACAAAATAGCTTATTCCTTACCTCAGATCCCGTCAACCAGATATATTTTTCATAATTATCAGAATTGAACGAACGATTTTGTTTGTTACCTGTTACAATCAGATTTTTTAATTCCGGTGTCGGACGTTCAATACAAATACAAAACTATTCTGAATTTTTATCAAATCAATCTTTTACATGTAGAAGTGTCGAAACTGGGCGATAGAGCAACATTCAAGATATCTTAAGATATCTTAAGTGAGAATCTCAGTGCTATACAGCAGAATATGGTATTATAACCTAATGTTACATTGACTCGATATAGAATTCAGAACTTCTGCAACACAAAGATATGTTGAACATTTTTAAAATTGTTCTAAAATTGTTCTTATACATCATTCGGTTGCTTCCTTACGAGCAACCCTCAGTAATCTTCAAGAGACTTGTGCGAGCAAGGAATGACGGGGGTCTTACCTTTCAACGTGTGATCCCAAGTGGTGGGAATCGAACTCACCTACCGGCAATCCAACGTGGATAGAATATTGACGCTTCAACCACGAGACTACGCTGGCCGCATAAATATTCAATTACGTCAAAGGGCTTGTCTCAGTGTTCCACTAGGTGCCGATTTAATTTATAATGCTGAAACCTCAATAATCTCGAAAGCCCTTTTTTTTATGCCCAACTGTTGCTCTGAGATGACGATATTGTCTTCATGATTATACTAATGGAAAAATAGTAGTTGCAACGATAATTTATAATTATAGCTAACAATACACAAAACTCGGGGTAAGTATCGTCACCTATCATCTTATTCAATCATCTCATTCATATTCTTTATCAATCAATATCTATGTTATTGAATATTTGTAATGATGTATTCTTTCTACTGACTTATTTTTGCAGCGCTTTAGGTGCAATCATAATGTTGGTCATGTTCCTAGGGACGGTCCTGTCAGGCTTAAATTGTTTTATTCTTACTTGAAGATATGAAAGTAATAAAAAGTAGATTACCTTAAGTGTTAGATGTGATCGATTAGACTTATAGAAAGTCAATGGTATGCTGTAATGATAATATTTCTCGTGTGATGCATATGGAAAGAAATAAGAAACTGTTCGAATTAGAAATTGTACCATTAAATGATAATAACTCTATTTAATCCAATATATGGGTATGTTCCAATGGTAGAGAGGTAGATCATCTTAATGGAAAATAGTATTGGGAAAATGTGATTTTTTCTTTTGTCTGGTGCGCACGAAAAAGAAAATGTATTATGTTCGTGAAACAGGGTGCATACCTAGGTAGAATAGGTGAGAAAATATGTATTGGATGTTCTTCAACTTTTAAAGGCTCTTGGGAATACTTCTCTGGGCAAAGAACTCCAAAGCTTTACCGTTCTATAGACAAGAAGGGTTTTGGTAGAGAGTTGATTGACATAATCTCGAGTTCAACGACATTAGAAAATGATGTCTGATCTTGTCGAGTACATGGAATGATAGCAGAGATTTCCGATCATCAGAATTCAAAGAGCTGAAGGTTCATCACCAAATACAAACACAGTATTGCTACAGGCTCATATATTACCAAAACCTAACATAGGAATCGGATAATTAGTTTTGACAGACAATTGCAGGTCTTCTGAATGTGCTCCGTCGGAATATATATCGTTAGCCTTTGTCCCAGCTCCGTTCGTTTCCCTACTCTACGCAGTGGATGTTTGGTTAACGTACTCAACATACAGGGGAAAACAGCTTCCCAAATGACCCCTAAGACTGTTGATGATCCTTATTTTTCTTTCCCGAACCGAGACTTCAAATCAATATGTCTGCCCTCCGGCTCGTTTTTTTCGTCTGTTATTATTTTTCTACCTTTCCAACCGTCGCACAATATCCCACTTTTTCTCCATTCCCATAAACAATATACAATGAAGATCTTGCAGAAATCACAGCCTGGGGGACAAACAACCTAGTTGAATTCAACGCCACCAAAACTCAAGCCTGCATTTTCTCTAGGAAGGCGGAACTCAGTATGCCCGATATTGTAATGTCTGGCTCCACCATCCCCACCAAGCCCACCATATCTATGCTCGGTATTTCCATCAGCAACACTCTTTCATGGGATAATCATGTCAGATCCATCGCAAAAGCTGCTTCACAAAAACTCGGATTCTTGTTCCGTGCGAAAAGCTACTTTACACCTCAACAGCTTCTCATGATCTACAAAGCGCAGATACGGCCTGTTCTAGAATACTGTTCCCACATATGGGGTTCAGCACCAAAACATATGCTGATGCTCTTAGATTCCATCCAGAGAAGAGCCATTCGCCTGGTGGGTGACGCCACACTCACTCACTCTTTGACATCATTGGAACACCGTAGAAAGGTCGGCGACCTTTCACTTTTCTATCGATACTTCCACGGGAAATGTTCTTCGGAAATCTCTGCTATCATCCCTTCACTAGCAATACCAATCAGACGAACTAGACAAGCCCAGTCAGCACATCCTTTCGTTGTCAACCTCGAAAGATGTCGAACAGCACTTTATCAAGACTCCTTCATCCATAGAACGGCTAGGCTCTGGAATTCATTGCCTGTGGAAGTATTCCCAACAACATATAATCTCTAAAAGTTCAAAAAAAATTCCAATACCTACCTCCTGTCCCTATCCTCCCTAGGAACGCACGATGTTCTTTGAACATTATAGGGATTCCCTTTCGTGCGCTCCAAGCGATAAAAAAAAATACAAAATACTCTTTAGCATTTTTTTTCCATTTCCACGCTTACTCTATGGGTAATAATTCAATTTTCATATATTGTGCTCTGAGTATTAGTGATATGATCCAATCAAAGAACTATTCAACATGATCCATCTCAAATCTATGGAACATTCACTGTTTATTCACCATTGAACTTCAAGTGCTATCTCACCATTTTTATGAACTGTGACAACGTCGTTTCGATCTCTGCGATTCTCCTCAATTTATTATCATTTTATGAGCGAATAACTCACGATGAGTAGAATTTTCGGTGGAAATAATGGTCTTGTCGCTTGAACCTTCTTATGCATTCAATAATTCATGAATGAACAAGAAAACCCCCACGCACAACCTAGGTTTATGTGGGTGCACCTGATGTTTATTCGAGAAAATCATATCATGGAACCCAACTGAGATTTATTATTCATTGCAATTTTAGCATATTTATATTGAAATAATCAAATAATAAGATTTTATATAACAAGGGAGCGAAGGTATCTATTTCCTCCCGCGTGTGGAGAAGGGCATTAAACACACATGGGAGAAAATGAACCTTTGCTCCCAAGATATATACAGAGAAGTGCACAAAAAACGGCCAATTTTGGATTATTCGAGATAGAGTTTTGAAAATTGCTGGGCAGCTAGTATACCGAATTGCTCATTAATTGGCGAAACAATTTTTGTTCTATTACTCCCGGTTTTACTGGAAATGATCCCAACTTTTGATTTTTGAATAGGACACCCTGTATTGAATTCCATAATCCATTAGGGATTGTCATAACGAATTCATCGATACCGGGTTTGATAGGGTTGTTACAAACGATTACGCAGATATTCACGTTTAAAGTTTCCATATGCTCAATGAGTGTGACAGAGAAAGAAGTTCTGATATCGCGAAGTCACACATCTTTAGGTTTTTTTTGTATCAAAACTATTCATTATCGGTCAAAACGGCTTTCATGTCGCAATCTTTATTTTCGATTTACCATCTACTGACATTAAATTGGAACAGTTACAGGGTAATCAGAATTCTGCTCTTGAAATTCCATAAAATTCATTAAAATATTCACATCGAATTTTGAATCACCCTATATATTATAGTTTGAGATAACATGCTATAATTACTTTTTTTCCACCACTAGCTATCGAACCTACCCTTATTTACTCCTTTTGAAGGGGTCAAGTGTGTTTTAACTACCAAGGTAGTTTTCTTCATTTTATGAACCACTAGTTTAATAAAGACCTAGCCAACTCTGTTATAATCAACCCGAATTCACTGTTCCTATGCGATATTCACCGGAATGACACTGGAATCTAATAGGTATTAATCAATGTTGTCACATGTGACTAGATTTCAGTTAATTGAATTGAAAAGAAGTGCATGCATAGTGACATGAATCCACATTTCAGTTACACAGAACTAAAATGAAATATATTGCTAGTGGTCAAGAAAATCACAGTACACTTTGGTAGTAAAGAATATCAACATCACAAGACCTTACAGCCCTCGGCTGAAGCCTCGGAATATAATATTGGTTCTTGGGTAATAATGATGTTATTTACTACCTTGGTGTATTGATTACTATTGAGAACGATATATGCTTTGTTTGTTTGTAGAGATGATTTATAGTTGTATTTTCTCTTGCAGGAAAACGTACTCTTAAAGCAGAGAGGCAGCAGCTCAATAAAAGTAATAGATTTCGGAAGTTCGTGTTACTCCAACCAGAGGGTTTACACGTATATCCAGTCGAGGTTCTATAGATCTCCAGAAGTAATATTGGGACTCACTTATGGGATATCTATCGATATGTGGAGTTTAGGTAAGAAGAAAAAGAAATAGGTTCTTATTATAATGTCTGAATTGAAAGAGTAGGTACATATTATGTTCTACCTATTTATTGCCGAATTCGGTCAATGGCTAAAATTCGATACTGTTAACACAACGTGGAATTTCTTGTTTACCCAGAATATAATGTGAGATATTATAAATGAGAACTTATACTCGTATCGCTAGGAGCGCACGGAAGGCAATTCCTATAATGTTTGAAGAACATCGTGCGTACCTAAGGAGGATAAGTAGAGGAGGTGTAGGTACCCAGGTAGCCAGACTGACGAATGTGACGTCTATAGGACCGCTATCTGAGGTCTTTTTTGATCTCATACGTCTTTTGACCAAATTATGACGTCATGCGGACGTCATTTATGTGACGTCTTATGGACAGCCACTGTTCGACGTCGTATAGACGTCAATCTATGGTCTTCATATTTTTTTGGGTATTATTATCATTATCATTATTATTATTACTATTATTATTATTATTTTTATTATTATTATTATCATGTATGTATAGGAAAACGAAGTTATGAAATAAATTTATTAATTCATCCAAATAACTGTATAAATGTATGATAAAAATGTACTTTATTCCATAGGCTTCCCTTGATTTTCAATGTTTAAATTTAGCGCCAAAGACAATTCTCACTTACCGACCAGATGGCCAATGGCGATCAAGTAATTACGCGAAGAGATTGTGTATGCGACTGGCGACCATCTTGCGACTGCCGTTAGTGGCGTTAGTGCCGTTCAGCGGTCCGTTCTGTGGTTCAGCGTCAAGCTTGCATCGTGCATGGTGCGTTCCCGTTCATGTTCATTGTCCATCTTCCATGTTCGAATGGGTGTTGTTTGTGAACGGCGTCTGTGCCATTGAATTTGTTAAGAATGTTAAAATGTTGAGTGTTTGAGTGATATTTCCATACAGTCTGTTTTTCACGTGAAAGTATTCAGGATGTATTGTGTAATACAATTTAATGACAGTGGAAGCAACAGAGTGTAGCTGTTGTTCACGAAACTTAGCTGACGCCGTTGAAAATGAAAGTGTTTTGGCCGCCATTTAAAGACAGCAAAACATACAAAAGAGCTCTCTGTGAAGGGGAGCCATAGACGCTGAAATTTTCAACTATTTATGTAATACCTCACATTACTATCTTGTTAATAAAATCTTCATTCGTAGCAAATTTATTTTATAGCACAAATGATTACCTTCCTCACTAGATTATAACCATTAACCTAAAAATTTTATAAAAAAAAAACAGACGTCTTATTGACGTCGGAAATTGGTCAGTAGTGTCACTTTAAGGTCCAAATTGAAAACACATACTGACGTCTAAAAGACTTTCAAATATGACGTCATTTGGATGTGTCTTACTTACGTCATTTGGACGTCGCATTTGTTGAAATAAAGACGTCTTTTGGCCGAATGTGATGCCGTCAATTAGACGTCATATAGTCGTCATGTGCTACCTGGGTATTGGATTTTTTTAACTTTTGGAGCTTATATAAGTTTCAGATTTTGGGATTTTCTCTCCTCGTTGGTTAATTTCGGTATAAAGTAATTGCATGATTGCTCAAAATGAAATAGGTAGTATAATGAAAGATCAAAGACTAATCATTGTTTCATCAATTATCGTGGAGATGATTTTGGACTTTCTTTCGTCTTCGAAAGTATCTATCTTTGAGGAAATAGAACCTATTTGACACAAATTTAGGAAATGAAGAAACTCTTGTTTGTGGATATATGAAAGAAAATAACTCGATAATTGTGAATTTTGTCAGATCATCCAGAGCACATTGTGGCTATGAAACATGAACATATTTCGGCCAATGACAACGACAACAAAATGGCCCAAATCTTGGTTCTGGGCGAAATTATCTGAATCCACGACATGTGGTTATAAATTTCAGCCATTGGTAGAATTCGGCAATCAAGTACAACATTTAGGTTTAATTTTATCATTATTATTATTGGTTTCGAATAAATGAATATTCAATAGAATATATTCGTACATTTATTGATAACAATATTATTGTTTCCGGGGATACATCAAATTATCATCATAAGAATAGGAATAATTCTGGTGAGAAGCATCCACCATTGTTCCACTGATAGTACATTATACACCTAGGCAATGAAGTGGTATTTTAAAGCCCTAGAAAAAAAGTTTATAGCTCGACCAACGAGAGGGCTATAATTTGTTTTGATTTGAAAACACTTCACTCCCGAGGTGTATATACTATTTTATGCACTTCAGGATAGCTAAACCGTTGAAGAAAAAATAACGAAAAAAAAATTAAATGCTACTAAACTCTATTTCTGAAACATCATCGAAGGATCTAAATGTAACCATATGAACGACCTCAGTAACTTTATTGATCCAGATCATGATTGTCATCGGCAACTGAAAATCTTGGTGTGTTATAGACAAGTAACTAAGTAGAACATAAATGAATAAATAAATATAAGTCAAACACGCCACACCGATTGAAAGACGTTGATCGCGATGGAACAAATCGAAAAGGCATCTCAAGAAGCTGAAGGCCAATTATCACCAAGAAAATCTGGGGAACAATATAAAAAAACAGTTATCTGAGTTTATCAAATGGTGCTAAGAACAGAACGTTGAAGAATGTACAGAAGGATTGGTACTGCTAGCATTATTTCTTGGAAAAGTCAAAAAAGCTTGAAGCATCGTCATTGTGTAACATATATTCGATGATAAAAGCCACAATTGCAACAGACATTTTGAAAATACCTTTCTAAGTTCAGCTGTTATTGCAAAGGAATTTACTTTAAATCCCTAGGGATTTGAAGTACCACTTTTTCCCCGAAAATAGGGAATGAAGGTCCCCCCCCTCTAAATCCCTGAAGTGCATATGGATATGTTCAAATTCAAATGGAAATTATTTAAAAAAATCCTAATAGTCAATTCTTGAAATGAAGAGACATAATCGATGTATCTAAATGTTGTATCAATATGTTATATAGGATAGGATGATCATGTTGAAATGACTTACACCTCAAGAGTCTATAAAACCGAATAGAAATATGTCAGAAGTACCCGAATTTGAGATTTTTCAAACTTTCAAAAATTTATCCAGAAATATTGACTTTATCGTGAAAAGTCATAGGACTCTCTCCATTTGATTTTCAATACAGAATATAAAAAAAATTGGCCGGCTAGAAAATAACAATTCTTCTGAATTGTTTAAACAATGTCGGTTTAAACAATATTGCACGGGGTTGCCCCATTGCAACAACATGCATTTATATCATCAGTAGATCGAATGAAAAATTGAGGTGAAATAGTTTTCGTTAGGTACTCATGCGCCGATTCCTCTTGGACTATTTTACTCTTCGCAAAGTAGAAAAGCTTATTTCAGCAGTAGCCACTGATATTGATGGCGTAACAAAGATTTTTGAATATTTTGCGATGGGGGGATAAAAATATTGGTCTATGCTCATGAGTGTTTTGATAGCATTTTGGCAACATGTATAATTATAGATAGCTTCCTGAAATATTTGTACTTCACCCAACAATTTCTCACTCTCACCTTCAACATGCTCAATGATTAATCCTGAAAACTGATGACATATAAGGTAGGAAATCTTTCTTTTCAGGCGATTGTATTTCGTCAAATGCAGTAAATTTTGGGAAATGAATTCATAAAGTGAAATATATTTTACACATTTCGTTCGATAATCTTTTGGTTTTCTTCCGCAAGAAGAGGGAGGCGAAACCTCCTTTCCCTCCTGAATCCGCCACTGTACACCTGTGCTAGCTTGAAATATTCGTAAAAATCAGTGCAAACTGCAAACTACCAATATTATCTGACTCTCTTATTATAAATGCTGGTGTTCTGCAAGGATCAATTATAGCACCAACACTATTTCTACTTCATATCAACGATTTGTTAGAAGCAACTTCATGCCCAGTACACAGCTTCGCGAATGATAGTACCCTCCATACCGCCTTCTCTTCCAGGGCTCCAATACCAGCCAGGCAAATCAGAAATAACAGACAAGGGAGAAATGTTGACAACATAAAGAAAAGCCGATCTCACTGTGCCCAACATAAAAGCTTGTCAGGAGTAACCATACCTTTGAAGACATCCAGTTCAATGCTTGGTATTACTATCAGCAATTACCATTCTTGGGAAAATCACGTGAGATCAATTGCTAAAAATGCATCCCAAAAACTTGGTTTTCTGTTTCGGGCCAGGAGCTATTTCCCTTCCAGTCAGCTGCTTATGATCTATAAGACACATATCCGACCTGTCCTGGAATACTGTTTCCATATTTGGAATGCAACACCCAAACATTCCTTGAAACTGCTGAATTCTGTCCAAAAAAGAGTAATTCGTCTCGTGGGTGATGCTTCGCTCACAAACTCACTCACTTCTCAGGAACACCGTTCAAAAGTTGGCAATCTGGCTCTATTTTATAGATATTTTCATGGACGATGCTCTTCTGAAATATCAACAATTGTTCCTCCCTTGGCATTCCCCGCGAGATTAACCCTTCGTGGTCACTTTGGAGACAAGAACATCTCTTTCCAAAGACTTTTGTTCATCCAACGAACAGCGAGGCTCTGGAACACATTGCCAAGAGAGATGTTCCCCGAGGCATATAACCTTCAGAAATCTAAGAAGAACACCAATTCTTACCTTATTTCCCTTGGTTCTTACGATGTTCTCTGAACATTACAGGATGTCCCATTTCAACAAAAAAAAAAAAAGATGGAAGCTGTGGACAGATAGCTTTAGTCAGATTGCAGACAACGATAGGAGGTACCGGGTGGTCGGGATATATAGCTCGGCAAAGTTCGCGAATAGTCTTTCTCATTTTGAGTCCTAGCTTCCACAGATACGAAATAAATATACCACATTACTATATACTTGGCTGTTAACTCATGGGACACCCTGTTTGTATAGTAATATAAGTGTTTATTTATGAAATATTAGTCAACCAGTGCAGCTGTTAGTGTTAATAAATTCATAAATTTTTCACCACCTCTGATATTCAGAATTTGAATACCAAATCGGAAAGCTTATGTAACACAATTAATGGAATTCTGTTGTTTCCTGTCACTGCAGTATTTCATCAACAGTGAAATAAATGAACTCACAAAAAGAGTAGGCAATAGCAGATTAACGGCAAATGCTTCTGAAATTGTTTGAAATATCGTGAATACTGTGGTGAATATCCATAGACTTTTCATGATCATGCTATTAGTTTGTCTACTAGTTCTGGTTTCTTATGATTTCTTAAAAAGTATCAATATATTTTTCAAAATGATTCCCATACACTCTAAAAAATAATGATTATACCAATACAAACTTAATAATAATAGTGATAGTGATAACTGTGTATGATTTTATTTAAATCGGCGATATCTGTATGTAAAGTAATAACTGTATAGAAAGGACTTCGTACCAGACGCGATCAATTCCATGAACTCATAATATTCTTCAAATGTACCTTGAGTGTATTAGTTGAGATATCGAAAATGCCATAACTTATCGTATGTGAATATTGATTATATAGACTACATATTCTCTTGATAGGGGTACTATTTCTATTTACATGCAATGATACCTGTCGTGGTCGAACTCCTGGAGGCGGTACATATAGAGATACGTAAAAAGTTACTGTCAACTTGACTTTTCAATAGTTTACCCAGGAATAACAAGCTGATGACTTGATGAGGATTCTTCGGCGTTCAAGGGTTACTAGGCTGAATTCCTCTCTGATATGACTATATGACGTAAGTTCGGGTGAAACTCTGTATTTTTTATAGTGAATAAGGTATTTCAGGAATTTATTTTGTATAGTTTCTATTATTTGTTCCATGTTTTTTTGTCCAGGATCCCATAACAAACATGCATATTCTATTTTGCTGCGCACAATTGTAACAAACAGATGTTTTATGATAGTTGCATCAGTGAAAGATTGTGTACTACGTTTTAAAAAACCAATCAGCTTGTTAGTTTCCTTTTCAATATTTTGAATTTGTCTAGTAAACTTCAAGTCGCTTTGAAATATAACGCCTAGATCACATATTTCTTCAGTTCGCTCAAGAAAAGTGTTTTGCATTGTTTAGATAAAATTATGTCTACTTTTATTTTTACTATAAGTGATAACTTTGCATTTAGATAAGTTGAATGCGAGTTTATTTTCCACGGGCCATGTCGGAATATTATCGATGTCGTTTTGAAGTTCTAGATAATCATTGAGGTCTTCAATTTTTTTGTACATTTTGAAGTCATCTGCATATGATAAACAGTCCGATGACACCACGTTTGGAAGATCATTGATGAAAATTGTGAAGAGTAGTGTCCCTAAGTTCGAGCCTTGTGATATGATACAGTCTAAGAAATATTCTCATGATATCAGATTTTTGGTAATTCTTCTAATTAACGAAAAATTTCTTCTCAGAAATTGAACAAAATACGAGAAAAAAAAATCAAGTACGCCCCTATAAAACAATTTAAATGATTGAACGCCACATGATTGTGCCTACCGCCTGGAAATTTCAACAGAGGTGATGTCAGGTTTGCTACAGGCTAGAACTTTAGGCGGAGAAAGGAGTCTAACCTCAAATTCCATTTTGATCCCTAATGTTCTCTATGGGTGCCATTCGATTGTACACGTCGAGCTTCCTCAGTGTTCGAAATATTTGCACTTATTTCATTGCCACCCTGTATATTCACTAGACAAATCAAATTTTCCAAAGAACAATTAATGATATGTTGAAATCAGAATAAATTATAATACAATACAGGGTGTCTCATGAGTCATGGATCAAGAGAATTGGGGTGGTAGGGAGGGTCATTTCCAATCAAACTAAACGTTTATGATCCAATTGTTGATGGTACAGAAGTTATTAATGTTTTGTCATGTCTATAAAAAAGATTATTCACTAGAAAACTATGACACATTTGTGATTTTTTCTTTCACAAATTTGATCCACATAGATGCACCTTTCGCCGGAAATAATTTTATGACATGTGTTACTTATCACTTACCTGAGATAAATGTTATTTTCATCGAGTTTTGTCATTGAATGAAATATTTAGGTTGATTTTTTAATGCCGCAGGCAGATCTAAAAACTACTACACAAAGATAAACTACTATTATAGGACAAAATTGACCATTTAATAAATATTCCGAAATGGTATAACATATGGGGTTATTCAAAACAGTCATTTTGTTATTTTTTCCTTCGAATGGGTCGCGTTTTTCAGAAAAATTCAATAACTTTTGAACCATCAATAGTTTGATAACCACATATACCGTTAGTTCAATTGCAAATGATACCCCCTTATCACACCACTTCTTTTGATCTATGACTTATGGGACACCCTGTATAGACTTTGAATTCGAATGATACCGTTTATACAATACCATCACCTCCGCACTTTATGGCGGAACTGGATACAATTACATATCAAAAGACATAAAACATTGTACTGTATTCAATATAATAATTATAATAATTAATAATAATTATGCTACTTCGAGTTACATAATAATTTACAGTATGCTTGGTTTTGTATATTTGAATGAGATATACTTTCTTAGCGAATGTTAAGACAAGAAGTAATTTATTTCTCAATTTGAATCATTTTCAAGTTACAGTGATGAAAAATATATTGATACTTAGTTAGTAGTAAGGTAGTTATTCAATGAGGCCTACGTTTCAGCAATTAGGAAGCACATTTTTCTCCTACAAATAAGTACCTACTTCAAACAATCTAACCTAACTTGGCCTGAATGATTCTTCATAGCAAATGCAAAAATCAACAAGATTCGTTATTAGTGTAAAATTTGGGGTTTAAGTACCTATAGTTGAACTAATACTGATATTATTGATAGGTTATACATTTTTTGCCTAAAATATAACAATATGATGTTTGCAATTCAAAATGAGATAAAAGGGATCATATTATTATATACTATATTTTTAGCCATCAATTGAATTACACCCTGTATATATACGTGATGTTCATCAACTATATCATTAAGTTATTAAACATTTATCATCATTCATCTCTAAAATTAGGTAAAAGAAAAAATGTTGGTATGCCATATGATCCTGTTACACCCAGTAAACCTACCTATACCTATATCACCTATATATCGTGATGAAATGTTGAGGCTCATTCATCTTATTTTATTTCGCAGGTTGTATTTTAGCTGAATTATATACAGGATATCCTCTATTTCCTGGCGAAAATGAAGTTGAACAACTCGCCTGTCTGATGGAAGTTTTGGGACCACCGCCTGACGAACTTATCAGTGCAGCCACCAGAAGGAGGCTATTTTTCGGTGAGTCAGAGATCAGTAGATGATATGAGATATCGGATAAATGTCAAACTCTAACAATGCCGACAATGGGTTGCGTGCAAGAACTGTCAGAGGACCGACCCTGGAGGCACAACATTGAAAACACAACCTCACTTTCCTTGATTGAAATAGTTTTTCACGATTATCGAATCGTATTTTTCGGCTTATCATCAATTCGCTCATGCCATCACATTGTGCTGTTGTAAAATGCACAAAAACTGCAGCGGAAGACGAAGGAATCCGGTTGGTACATTATGATTCAAATGTAAGTACTTACTATAGTCACTCACTTATAGTTTTCATTATTGGAATTTGGTAATTTCTCTGATTTCTCATCGGATTTCCTTCTGCAATAGGAGCTAATAGAAATACACGTGTGAAATGTGTAAAATAATGCAAGAAGATTGGATCCATGCAATCAATCGGGAGGACTGGTCTGACGATCGTGTGTGTTGTAGACATTTTCAATCTATTAGCAGTATTCGCTTGTATTGCAGAAGTGGCAGAGAAGGCAGAAGAAATTTTGATAAGGAATGGCAACCTTTCATAATGATAACTATAGAGACTACCATTTACCTGAAAAATCATATTCCTTCGTCTCTCGCTGCATTTTTTGTGCATTGTACAACAGCACAATGCGAAGGCATGCATGAATTAATGGATAGCGCAAAAAACACAATTCGTCTGCCAAAATATTGTGAAAAACAATTCCAATCCTTCGATTCCTCTGTAAACAAATAAAAAAGTGAGGTTGTGTTTCAATAATTCACAGAAGAGTGAGGTTGTGTTTCAATAATTCACAGAAGAGTGGGGTTGTGTTTCAATATTTTGCCTCCAGGGTCGGTCATCGTGCACGCGACCTATTACGAATAATGCCAAAGAATGCAGCATTGCCAGGCAATAACGAAAATTCAGAAGAAACGAGATTCCCAACATGCTCAATTCTCATGATGCTTTGATTCTCACCAATGGGCCTGTTTCAGTAAAAAAATTCATCTCATTATTTAGAAGTACTAACCCTTACTAGTGCACTGTCACAAACCCTTTTTTCCTCAGAGCTCCGTAACTTTTTCAAATTATTATTAAATCAGATGACTTGCCCCAAATGGTCACTGCGTTTAACAAATTTTTCTATCAGGAAGCCTAAAAGGAAAATCCAATAGCTGTACCTTTAAAAAAATGCTGCAATCTTTCTTTTGATGAACCGTGTTTCCAATGCCGAGTTTCTTCTATGAATTTTGGTCCTAGGCAGAATTGAACGATATTTTCCAAATTACGAGCACGTTATAAAAATTACTGGTTTTTGTTTTCCAGACTCTCGTGGCAACCCCCGCTGCACAACCAACTCGAAGGGCAGGAAAAGGAAACCCGGATCCAAAAACTTAGCAGTGGTGCTTCGTTGCAATGATCCAATCTTCATAGATTTCATCTCTAGGTGTTTAGAGTAAGTGCTATTATTATTATTTATATGTTACCTCAATAGACTGGGAATGTTTTAAGAATGGCCATAATATATGATTCATTTTTTTGGAAACCATCTCAATAGTATAACATGAAAATTCCAATACCTATCTCCTCTCCCTATCCTCCCTAGGCGCGCGTAATGTTCCACGAACAATATAGGAATTTCCTCCAGTGCGCTCCGAGGGATAAAAAAAATCAAAACTGTTGGTAATTTTGCCGGAGAAAGTGTATTTAATTTCCATTAATTTTTTCATATTTTGGCGAAGGGCGAATTGAATACGGATCTCTCGCCAAAATATGGCAATGAACGAGTATCATAATTATTATGAATTGCCAAAAAATGTCAATGCGCTTAAAATTCACCATTTGGAAACAGGAATTTGCTACCATTTTCAACACAGAAAAGGAAAAGATTTCTTGAGATAGCTTTCTTCGTTCTTTAATATTGATATGAGGGAAACGATTTATGAACTGATGTTATTTTTTATGGAAAATCAACTTTCAACTAGCATATTTGCCAAACAATGTCTGTTCGAATCATAATTTGGCAACAATTTGGTACTAATAGGGCTATAATCGATGATTAATGCATTTATCAGTAAATTTATTATTTTGGGCAATAATCAGCATAATTTTTTTTTTTGGATTTCCTCTTCTCATTTTTACAAATGAAAATATGAGTCTTATTTCAAAATATGTGTAGTGATGACAAATCAGATGGTTCGCATCATAATCATAACGATAGAATCAGCTGAGAGTTCAAATATAGGTATTCCACAAATTGATGTGTGGATATAAGGGACTTGAGAACAGCGGGCGGTGTAGTGCCCTTTATGACCTGTGGGCAATAATGGGCCCACGGGCAGTAAAGTTCCACTTTACGCCCGCAAATCTGGGCCATAAAGTGCACTTTACCGCCCGTTAGTGCATAAAGATTATTGATAAAGTTTCGTGGATTTTTTTTTGTCTGTGTGTGAATCAACAGATAGTGATAGCTGACATAACTTCCAAACTCTCCAGTGCCTTCTGCCTCTAACTTTCCAGATTACTTGTCATCAAGATTGTTCAATTTCATAGGTATCTGTTGAGAAATGTAGATTGTATAAATTTAAGAGAACAACCCAAAAAAACTAGATAAATTGATATTCTCAATATCAGAGCAAACTCTTCCCTTCCAGATGGAACCCCAAGAAGCGCATGGCGGCCGACGAGGCGCTGCGCCACCCTTGGATCCTCTCTGGCGCGCCGGCGCACAAGGCCGGCGAACTCCGGCACAGCCACTCCGAGGTCAACGTCTCCCATGACAGCCACTCCTCCAGCAGCACGTCGGGCAGCAGCCACAGCCGGGTGCACCACAAGGGCGTGCTGCAGAAGGGCGACAAGGTCAAGGCCAAGATCGTCGAGACGAGGTTGCACGACAGCGCGGCCAAGCTGGACTCGAATCTGAACGATTCGGGCACGTTCCTGCCTCCCATTTTGTAGATTTATGTGTGAGTGCAGCTTTCGCACTTGGGAAACTGGACTGGGAGTTGCGTTTTGATTGTGAATAGGGTCGAGTAGTGTGGTATTGAATACTCGATGAGGAATATTCTTTCTAGACAATCTCTTCTTTCAATTGAACATGTACCAACAATATCATAAGACACACTTAGGTAAATATATCCAGCGAAACGGAACGATATGATATAATGAGACTTCATTAGGCAGGAACATTCATTTCTGTAAAAAAAATACGATCACCTTCTTGGCGATGAGAGAAGGAACACAAAATATCTATATGGAATGATTTTCACATACTCCTATTCCTCCCATTCTGTAGGTTTAGATGAAGACGTGTCAGTATTAGCAAACTGGACTGAAATTTGAGTTTTGATGGTAAATAGAGCCGAACAGTTCGAGTACCTATTGAATAATACTCGTTGAGGATAATATTCTTTCTAGCAACCTCTGTTCCCATTTGAACATATTCCCTTTCAGTGATCACACTGAGGTATCCCAAAATAGACCATAATATAAATAGCAAGAACATTGTTCTCTTCTGTAAAAATATCCCATATAGCATTCGACGTTCAGGGGACGCCCTTTTCAGGTCCGATTTAGGTCTGAACGTCCAGGACCTCTTCGGGACGTACTGAAAACGTCCATTTCTAGACGTACTGGGTATATACGTACAATTCCGATGTTCTGAGTACGTCCAACTTTGGACGTTACCGACTTTTTGTGGACGAGATTGAATACAATGTATAACGATGATTAAAATCAATGCATTTAATTTTTACCCTCGATCTCTGATATCTATTCCTGTAGGAACCTTGCTAAATGATCATAATACAGTTCTCACAATTCAATTTTTACTGGCCGTACCTAATCACGAAACATTAATTCAGGTATTCTCTGCCGTAATCATCTAATTCTATAAAAGTATCAATGCGAAGAGTCACTCGATATTCGCCCATGATCTCTTGCTGCATAATAATATATTAATAAGTGTTCTGTAGAGTAATTGGTAGAGTATCTGCCCGGTAATTTAAAAGTCCTTGAATCGATCCCCAGTACGAGCGCATTTTTAAAATATTTTATACAAAATAAGATCTTTTCTACTCTGTCTAGATCTATGTTTTAACTACCTGAGTAAAAGAGGCGAATTTACGTTGATGCAGGTATTCATGACTAAATGTACTGAGGATGTACAAATGGACATCCCCAGTACGTACCACACGTCTTGGCCGAACGTTCTCAGTACGTTTTGGGGACGTGTACTGGTGCTATATGGGAATAAAATGTCCTCACCGTCATGAAAAAAGGAATCGGTACAGAATAACTATTTTTCAATTGGGCCAAGCTAGACTCGGGTTCAAAGAATGATTCTCACATGTCTCGTTCTCCATTTTGTAGATTTATGTGCAGCTGTTGCAATCCGCTAACTGGACTGAAGGAATTTTTTTTCAACAATTTGACCAACCTAGACTCGATTTAAATAGAATTTCACACTGCCTGCCTCCTATTCTGAAGGTGTAGGTGGAGCTGTTCCAGTTGGAAAACTGGACTGGGATTTGCGTGTTGATTGTGAATAGAACCGAGGAGTTCAAGTATTGAATATAGGTACTCCTTGAGGTAATTTCTTTCTAGACAATATCTTCTTTCATTTGAACATGTACACTATTAGTGATCACAACTAAAGTAAATGTATCCCAAAACTTCGTCATAAAATAATGAGTGGAAACATTAATTTCTCTAAGAAATACAATTACCTTCATCGTGATGAGACTAGGAGATCAGAACTCTTAATTTGGCCAAGCTAGACTCTGATTCAAATCATTTTGACACATTCCAAACTTCCATACTGTAGGTGTACCTAGAGTGCCTCGAACATTCCATTACACATTTCACCACTGAGATCTTCGAATTGTCATCATTCTCAGATTCAAAACGTCAGTTTTCGAATATGTCTTGTTCGGTAACGATCTGCAAATATTCTAAAAATGATGGTTACCATTTATTGGAGTTGCCCAAAGAAGAGAGGAAATTTCAAGAATTTGTTGAAGCTTCATATTCCAATAATCATTTCATGAAAATACATTCAATGATGTAATATTGATATAACTACAAAATTAGCATTATATGTGCCTTTGGTGTAACGCCACTGTATGTAAAAATACATTACATCTCTTATAAAACATATTTGTGTCTCATGTTTTCTGTTGTGCTGTTCAACAGCATGGCAAGCGTGTCCACACTCTTCAAAGAGCGTGAAATGAGATGTTCGAGGCCTTCTATGTGTAGGCGAAGCTGTTGAAGTGGGTAAACTGGAGACACGTGATTTTTTGTTTGATTGTGAATTGAGCCAAGGAGCTTTGGTATTATGTTTCGGTAGTATGGATACTCTTCCTAGACAATCTGATGTTCTTTCACCTGAACATTCTGTACACTATCAGTGATCAATTCATCTCCAAACTCAACGATGAGATGGTGAGACAAACTTGAGTAAGGTGATTTTTGGTTTGATTGTGAATTGAGCCAAGGAGTTTGGGTATTATGTTTCGGTAGTATGGATACTCTTCCTAGACAATCTGTTCTTTCACCTGAACATTCTGTACACTATCAGTGATCAATTCATCTCCAAACTCAACGATGAGATGGTGAGACAAACTTGAGTAAGGTGATTTTTGGTTTGATTGTGAATTGAGCCAAGGAGTTTGGGTATTATGTTTCGGTAGTATGGATACTCTTCCTAGACAATCTGTTCTTTCACCTGAACATTCTGTACACTATCAGTGATCAATTAATCTCCAAACTCAACGATAAAATAGTGAGGCTACGATAGGCAAAAATGTTTCCTCAATGAAGAAAATATCACAACCTTCATCGCCATGAAAAAGGGAATACAGAATTGATTATGTGTTTCATAATTAGTTCTCTCTCTTGAACTAAAAGTTCGTTTGTCTCATAAAACATTTAGGATCCTGATGCTTCCCTCTAATGGACTGTTAATCGACTATATGTATTAACAATATTCCTTCATCTTCGAGGCTATGCCAATGCATGAGACATTCGCTGATATAAGACTATAGAACTTCACCGAATAAAATGATCTTCCTTCTTTCAGTAGGTAACGTAAAAAAGGGCAATAATTAAGCCCCTTTTTGTGACTGATATTAAGACTTATATCACCTTTCACTCACCAGTGATATATGAGTAACTTTCTATATAAGTGCATCGCATACCTCAACATGCCTAGGTAAAAGGGCCAACGATATCTATACGACCAATTATACTGGCTAAACTGATAATTCATATATGGTTAGCAGTTACCAATTTATGTAATAGGTTATTAGAACAAACTCGTTTCTTTTAGATCGTATTACTAATTTAAGTAAAATGATTAGATACCCATCAAAAATTCCATAACTGGATATTCCCACAGCTAAAATTCTGATGGAATTAAACAATTTGAAAATATGAAAAACAATGAATTCAATAAGGGAGGTTTTCAGAAATAATAGAACTCCAAATCGAATATTCTAGAGATCAATATTTTCATTCTTCCAATTACACACATGGCTACGTTATATGAAGTAATCGAAAAAAGCTAAGGATAATTTTTAACGCGAACGACATACCTGGTGTCAACGAAGACAATAAGCCATAACATCTAGAATCTAGAATATGCGGTGTAGTAAGTTGGAATTTGATATGGAAAGTTTTCGAATTATTTTCACTTCCCGGTGACTTCCGGTTTCACCGGAAATGGCTCCGGTTTTGAATTTTTAAATGGATCACCCTGTATATTATAACATTTTTCAATTCCTGAGATATTTCTGGATCAGAATATGATATTTCCAGAAGTTTTTACGCCTACTTAATTTGTTTTAGAGTCACTTTTATTATTGCATCTAGGTGGCCATGATCGAACCTAAACGTATCTAAGGACCTCACAGATGATGTCGCAATATTATAATCGCAAAGTTTCAGTGACTATAGTAAGATTGATAGACAGATAGATAGAACTCTCATTTTTCAGATGGCAACCATTTTTGACAAACACTTTCCGAAAAAATGAGTTTTTGACGAATTCGATCTCTAAATTTAATCAGGTTGAGTTTATTGCCCTCCTTCCCATCCTCTAATGAGGGTATGAGGGTCATAAGTAGCGCACACAAAACTGCTAGGAACTATTATTGGGGTATAGGGTATACGTATACATGGTGTATATAATACCCAAATTTGAATTGTCCGTTATTGAACCTTACGTGTCATAATTTTGTGGGAATAGCCGGTATATTACGATTAGCTCGTCTTATTGTCATGACTGATATCAATTGCCTACATGTTTTTAGAGTTTGCTATATGAATTAGTTGAATGTGCAAAATTTTTATAGTCCATGTTGAATATTTCAAAATTTATATGGCTTGGTAGCGAACAAATTTGAATTTTATCTGTGATGTGAATTCATAGGATTTCTCTTATTTATATACGTTCATATTTTCTGTTCAGTGTAGTCAACTTCTCAATATAGATAGATGATACAGGGTGTTCTAGGTTCAACCAAGAATCGATGGCATGCATTGAAATATTTTTTCGTTTTGATGGAGAAATTGGTCATTGTTGAATGGGATGAAGAAATTTTCGGCTTTGTATTTTCAACTATATTGAAACAGAAGCCATTGCTTCAGAACTTGGTGAGAATATGATAATGAGTACCAATATTTGGTATCAATTTGTGGTTGAATAACTATACTGGGTGTTATTCTCTCCCAGCTATTTGTTATTGAATCCTTTTCAATAATCTTCATCAAGTCTCCCACCCATCTGTATATTTAATTTTTTTAATATATGTTCTGATTTTCGAGTTTTTGAATGAATTGTTATAATATGCTGAATTACTTGAACCTGAATGATTATATCTTGGATTTGTTTATTCGATGTGAAAATAAGATGTGATTATCAAAGCGAAGAAAATAAATATTCGTTGCAAGCTGGAAGCTATGATATCGATGCCTCTCTGTAATGGTAATGAAATTAGACTTCAATCCCGGAAACCAATTTCTCCACAACAAAATAAAATATATGTAAATTCAGATCAATTATATGCATTCTATTGATTTTCAGAGGAACCTGTAATACCCTCTAAAAGGATATGATATTGAAAGAATTGACTTAGATTTTCGTTGCTCTCCCTCAATAAATAGACAACAAATATTCTGCCCAAACATCGAATTCGTTTTGTAGGTATATTTTCCTTAATAAAGAGAAGTAATTATAAATACATCTTGTTTTTGATGCATGTTCATAGTTGATTAGTTATCGACCGATTTTATTTAAAAATTTTTAGATGAGTAATAAATATTTAGTGTTACCTATCTTATAGTTTGTACATTTTTTATTTCATCATGATAATTTGTAGTGAAAATGTAATGATGTTGTATAATGTATCATTGTGCATTGGTCAATATACAAGGTGTTATCAAGATATAATCATCATGGATTTGTTTTCTGGTTTTACAGAAAAAGACGAGAATTGCACCTCCATTTTATAGAATTATAAAACAACCTTATTGGTGTGAATAAAACATTTGTAAATCCCAATGTGATATATACCGATAATATTGTAGAAGTAGAAGATATAATAATATAGTTTATAGAGCCCTGGCCTAGTGAAATCATTACAAGGTACCTATTACATAATCAAATAATACTACTTGTAGAAAATTTTTCATTTGGCCACATGAAATGCACTCTCATGAAATTGATTATTATATTTTACCGCTTATTCGTTTTAACACAATAACAGTAATTTTGGTCGCTTACAGATTGTAAATTGTATTAAATATTGTTGTAAGTTGGTAAATAAGACTGAAAGTAATATTTTTGTCTTTTATTTCAACACGTCCCTTTCAGAAGACCCAATATCTTCTCTGATCAACATGAAATGAAATCCACAATTATTCTAAAACTAAAGTTTTTCTGTTGAGAATGGGGCATAGAATAACCGCCGGTTCTTCAACTCTAATAATCAGGTAATTGGACGAATAAGAGAGTTGAAGGGTTGCTATGAACGTTAACGTAAACGTAGATTGCAGAAATTATTGTTACTTATTCAGATATTCGAAAATGGACTTATATCACAAAAAAAATCATTTCATAATTCGATAGAACTCACCCAAACGAGCTCACCACCGCAAACCGTTTCTTGCTGTGAGCTCCCTACGTTTTATAAAAAATTATTGAAATCCCCGATTTTTTGACCTCTGAAAACGAGGCGATGATGTGACGGCAAAACCCTAATAGTGAACCAAGACTATTCCAGACAGAGATGAATGATACATGATCTCTGACACAGTGAATTAACGCGAGATCACAGTTGAAAGAATTATTATTGATATATCAGTTGCCTCAGTCTTCGTCGGGCGTTTGGTATTTTCTTTTAACTATGGCGAGATGAGGTTTCTACGTCATGAGAGGGTCCGTTTTCAGAAGGTACTATTATTTATGCCCAAAAATAAAATATTCCCAATTAATTTTTCGATCGAATTATGTCGTCAATCATTATTTATGTATAAAAGGATCATTATAAACATGGTTTGAGTTGAAAGTTCTACTAAGGTGTACACGCCCATTGGTATATGCATATGGTATCAACTACAACCCAGGTAACAAGCTGACGTCATTTGTACGTCAATATATGGTCATTTATGGTCATTGACGTCATATGACCTCAAAATGACGTCATTTCGACGTACTCAATATGACGTTATATAGACGTCCTTGATATGTCGTCAATATGACGTCATCTCATGGTCATTTTCATGACTAATTATGACCATCATTTATTGAGTCATCTACCATCAAGGAAAATTCAAAATCAAGAAGTTTCCCATCTCGGTTATATGAAAACGTTAGTAGTTATGTTATATAACATATATTATTATGTCACTAATCATATATTATGCTTTATAATAATTTTTCCGCTAATCTGTGCGAGAAGTGTGTTTTCGATGGTCTCTGAGATAATTGTTAATTATATACCTTCTGTGCAAAGTATTCCCCCTATAGCTATCAAAAATATATGACAGAATTTTCCGTCATAAAAAGCTTATAACGTTGTTATTCCGGAATGCGAATTTAAATCAGACCGGGATAGTGCGTAGAGAACTGTACTTGATTGGTCGGCTGGTCGGCACGGACCTTGCGCAGACATGCGAACGTCGACCGCCAGCGCCAAACCACAGCCGTCTTCAGAAGATCTGAGGCTGTGGCCAAGCCGTTCACTTTCGTTTCGCCGTTGCGGCCATGATGACCATAACAACAAAATAACAATACATAGAAGGCCATCATTATCATGTTATTCGGCTATCTATGTGGTGTGGTGTGGTGGTCATCTTATTCATATTCATGTATCAAGAAGTAGAATTTGAGGATGGCAGCATGGTCATTATTTTAGACAAGTGGTGTATGCCGAAAAAGCAGAATGTGAATTCGACGCCATTGAAGAAATACTATAGGGTTCAGATAAATCTCTCGAGTGCATCATCCGAATGGGATAAGTTCCCAATAAAAAGAACATTTTATGAAACTGGTATTTATAGTACCTACCTATAATGTTATTTTGTATTTGATGTGGTGAAGGAACATCAATATAATTATACAAAAAAAATCTCATCTTTTCTGATAATATTGATACAACCCTAATACAACAGTGTTTTTTTTCACCTACAGAAAATTTCGGAATAGCACAAAATAAACTGAAACATGCAGAAGATTTCAGTGATATAAATAATCGTAAAGATCACGTCATTTTGACGCCATTAGGATGTCGTCATTACGACGACATTAGGATGACGTCATTTTGACGACATGAAAATGACGTCATTCGTCTTTGACTTAGAAGGTCATATAAACGTCATTATGACGTCATTTTGGAAGTCATCCTGACGTCAGGCCTGACGTGATAATGACGTACAAATGACGTCAGCTTGTTACCTGGGAAAATACTTCATTTTACTCGATTTTTTGGGATTTTCTCTCCTCGTTTCTATAATATAAAAATATGCGTATTATTTCCATATATTTGTAGTGGGACAAATAATCAGATGATTTGCCCCAAAATGTCACTGCGTTTAACAATTTTTTCTATCAGGGAGCCTAAAAGAAAAATTTACTTATCTTTGAACGATTCGGGAACGAATCAGCTCCCGTTCTCAACATGGAAATGCAAAATATTTTTCTTTGGAAGTTGTGCTCTGCTTATATCTTATATTTCGACACTTCTCAGTGTTATACCGATGTTGGCATATGAATGAGTGATTTCAGTTTACAAGATGAGGTACAGGATGTTTTCATTAAATGATCGATTAACCTCTACAGACAGTATTTTGCAAAAGACTTCTCAATTCACAATTTTTCATTCCACTCCTTAAAATGCAACTAAGCTGAAATTATATGAAAAAAAATGTCATTTCTCTGCCTACTTTTTCACTAAAATATGTCTCTCAAATTCAGCAATCCAAAATACATATTTTATGTTTGTTGGATTTTCCTCCTATAACTCTCACTCGTTCGTCTGCAAAGTATAAAAACACCCCACAAAAAGTGACACTTCAACTCCATATGAAACAAAAAACTCAATCTCATCTGATCTAAATTAGACTTCCAAAGCAGAATGTTTCATGTGTTTGCCATTCTTCATAATAGATTGAATCTTGCAAGGAATATTTGGAAATTATGTATTTCGAAACGAAGCCATAACTTATTCATCTTACAAAGGAATATTTCCATGTTTCTTAGAGGGATTCTCCAATTTTTTTGTTTCCAATAAATCCAGATCCCTACACAATCTCCACCTTGTCGTTCTTGGTTCAATTATATCATCAATGAATCCTGAAAAAATGCATTGCTTGAAAATAAAAAACTGACATAAAGTAGGTTAAATATAGCAGCTTATAACTATCACTGTTCGGTTCCTTTTTCCTATAAAGTGTTTGATTCGCCTTGAAATCAATTGTAAAGTACTTTTTATTGGATCAACAGAATTCAAATTCTATACAGATTCATCCTCTTATATATAAGTATCATAATTTGAATTTACAGAAAAAATAGTGAATAACATATAGGGTGTTTCTTAAGTACGTGTAGAAAATTCAGGAGCATGTTGCTGACGTCAAAATAAGAAGAAAAGTTTGTATAAATATATGTCTGAAAGTTATTCGTTTCTGAGATACAGAGTGTCGAAGTTGAAATTTTATTTTGTTCGTACCTGTATCACGTTTTATAGTAGAAAAATAGATTTCTAGAACACTTTTGTGTAAAAAATATATCCTTGGTAGAGGTCGCTGCGAACAACTATTTCTGAGTAATTGGAATTTGAAATAATTATTTCCATAGGGCTCGTAAGATTTTGCCCAATTTTCTTCGTGCTTGTCTGTGGATCTTCTTCGATTGGCAGAAGGACAGCTTCTTCGATTTCTGGAATCTTAGTAGTCAACGGTCTGCCTATCACTGGAGCTTTTTCAAATGATCCAGACACCATAAGACGTTGAAAAAGGTTTCTGATTGTCTGGTGATTCGGCAGTCGATGATTAGGGAATCTTTCATTGGATTGTTATTTCTTTGAATGGGAAGAGTCCAAAAAAGTAAGTTGAAAGAAGTAAGAATAATTTTTTGCTGATATTCCAATGTTGAATGTAGGAGAATATTGAATGGATGAAGAAAAATGCACTGGCGTATCTTTTCTGATATATATACTACTTAGAGGCGACTAACGAGCCCCATGAAAATAATTCAAACGTATCGAATATTTCGAATCCCAATAATTCGAAAACAGTTGCTCGCAGCGACCTCTACCAGGAATATATTTATCACACAAGAGTGTAGAAATCTATTTTTCTACCATAAAACTTGATATGGTAGGCACAAAAAAATTATGACTTTTCAAGAGACTCAAAAGACATGTAGGTGGCCCACCCCCACGAAAGAAACAAACCAACATAAAATTTTATAGAGTCACTGAAAAATATCCCTAGATACCAAACTTTATTTGAACAACACAATTATTTTGGAATTTATTGACATAAAAGAGAAATAATAATTCAACTTTGAAACTCTGTATAACAGAAACGAAGAACTTCCGGACATATACAGTGAGGGGCAATATTATGGAATAAATTCATTTTTACGAGAATAGGCAACTTTTGAGACAAATCCCGAAACACGTCGATTTTTATTTCCAAATTATGATTTTGTGGCAGATATGTCATACTAGTGACGTCATCCATCTTTGCGTGATGACGTAATCGATGATTTTTTTAAATGAGAATAGGGGTCGTGTGATAGCTCATTTAAAAGGTTATTCAATTCTCTATTCAGTGATATGAACATCAACATAATTATTTATACAGGGTGGCCAAAAAAATATTTAATTTGTAAATGAAATTAATTTTCACAAAAAGAAGTATTATAATTTATTAAATACAAAATTACATTGTACTACTGTCGGAAAACAGAAAAAAAAATTATTTGACAAATAAAAATTGCTTTTCGCTTAAATTAAATGTTCAAATTGCCACCCACCGGCCTCTTGGCAGTAATGGAACCGACGAATACATTCTTCTTGAACATTGTGGATCATTTCTGGAGGTATATTACGAATTTCCAATCTAATTCTATTTCTTAAATCTTGTAAATTCTGTGGTCTATCGATGTAAACTTTTGATTTTAAGTAACCCCATAGGAAAAAATCAAGTGGTGTAAGATCTGGAGATCTTGCGGGCCACTCTATTGTTCCTCGTCGACCAATCCATCTCCTAGGGAAACATCTGTTTAAAAAATCACGAACAGGACGTGCAAAGTGCGGAGGTGCACCGTCTTGCTGAAACCATATGTTTTCATTTGGCGAATTACGATCATTTTCATTTGGAAACATGTCTGTAAGGGCGGGTATAAGTTCATTTTGTAAAAAATCAAGATATATTTGCCCCGTAAGAGACCCATCGAAGAAAAAAGGACCTATAATTCTATCCTCGACTATCCCTGCCCACACGTTTAGTTTTTGAGGGTGCTGAGTGTGTACCGCAGTCATCCAATGGGGATTATCTTGACTCCAATATCTGCAGTTTTGCCGATTCACTGTTCCATTTAAACAGAAGGTTGCTTCATCAGAAAAAAGGATTTCACGAATGAAGCGTGGATTTTGATTACATAAATCTTGCATTACTTCACAAAACTGCATTCGGCGATCTGGATCATCCTCATTGATTTCGTGGACATTATGAATTTTATACGGATGATATTTCTCTTTTTTCAGCACACGTAAAACAGACCTTTTAGAAATGTTTGTATCAGCTGCAATTTGCCTAGAATTAATTTGAGGATTCTCTGCCACACTTAATAATACAGACAGTTTCACATCCTCATTCATTGGTGGACGACCAGCATTTGCAACATGTTTCACGTGTCCAGTTTCTCTAAATTTCTTCTCAATTTTACTAACAGTGGATTGTGTGATAGGCGTATTAGGATATTTTATGGTAAATAAATTACATACTTCTTGTTGTGTTCTGGTTCTATCTCCATATCCAACCATAATTAATACTTCGATTCTTTGTGTTTCAGTTAATGGGGCCATTATTTATTTATTTCATGAAATAAACTAGTCCTTATGAGAAAATGTCAAGAACTGACTTACATTTGACCCAAGCCAACTCGATTTGTAAAAACTATACTTTTTGCTATCTTTTTAGTTCTCATTATTTATTTGCCTAATATCGGAATTTATTTTTGTTTCTTCATAGTAGTAGAAAGCACACCAGCTCTAAACATTTATTTATAAACTGTTTCAAGTGTTTCAATAGTAGACAAAATCAATGAGGATGATCCAGATCGCCGATAGACCACACATTTCCAAGATTTGACAAATAGCATTACATTGGAAATTCGTAATTCAACTCCAGAAATGATCCACAATGTTCAAGAAGAATGTATTCGTCCGTTCAATTACTGCCAAGAGGCAGGTGGGTGGCAATTTGAACATTTAATTTAAGCGAAAAGCAATTTTTATTTGTCAACTAATTTGTTTTTCTGTTTTCCGACAGTAGTACAATGTAATTTTGTATTAAATAAATGATAATACTTCTTTTTGTGACAATTAATTTCATTTACAAATTAAATATTTTTTTGGCCACCCTGTATAAATAATTATGTTAATGTTCATATCACTGCATAGAGAATTGAATAACCTTTCAAATGAGCTATCACACGACCCCTATTCTCATTTAAAAAAATCATCGATTACGTCATCACGCAAAGATGGATGACGTCACTAGTATGACATATCTGCCACAAAATCATAATTTGGAAATAAAAATCGACGTGTTTCGGGATTTGTCTCAAAAGTTGCCTATTCTCGTAAAAATGAATTTATTCCATAATATTGCCCCTCACTGTATTTATACGAACATTTCTTCTTATTTCGACGTCAGCAACATGCTCCTCAATTTTTTACACGTACTCAAGAAACACCCTGTACGATACAGAATTTAAACAATTTTCTGAAGTTACTTCACACACTATATTATGTAACAAGAAGGTCTTGACAATGTACAGGGTGGGCCAAATTCGATGGGATTTGGGGTTTTCTCTGAAACTATCAGTGCTAAACAAAAACCGACCACGGTGTCCTGAGCTTGATTTTCGTGAAAAAAACAATGGCGCAAACCGCGATCGTCTATCTTTTTTGGCTGCCGAACTACAGAGCGTTTTGAGATTTTACCTTTTATTGGTGACGTCATTATCTCGATCACCGTGAGTCCTGTCAAAAAATGAATAACACTTTCTCATAGCAATCTTTTGAGTTGAATTGATTACTGATAAGAGCAAAATTATTCATCGAACAGTTTTCGAGATATAAACCTAATTAATTTTTTTTAAATGGGACACCCTGTAAATTATTTCACCATTCGATCATAATTTCAATTACCTTTCGAACGATATATCATATGCTATAGTTACTTTGAGAACAAGTGGTTGTTTTTCGAAAATCTTTATATTCAGGGAGTAGATCGATAATAATTTCATCAAGTAAGTATTATTATAAGAATATGAAAAAAACATTCAAATAATTCCTAGTATCACATGATGTATGGCTTGGCGCCCCATATGTTGAAAATATATTCTTTGGAATTGTCTCACAGGCAAATTATCTATATATGTTTCAACTTCTTGTCGTAGAATTTGAATATATGTTTCGGAATTCAAGTTACCGCGGTAAAAATATGGGCCTATTACTTGGTGTCCCATTAAACCGCACCATACACCAAATCCAAATCGTCCTTGACGATTGACCGTAGCAGTAGCATAGGGATTTTCTTGAGCCCAATGATGGTTATTATGTCTGTTGAAGATTACGACACTGCTTATATGGGTCTCGTCCGTCCATATGACAGTTCCTTCAAAACCTGGAGATTCATTGCACTTGTGTAAAAACCAGTGGCAAAAATCTAAACGTCTTTGAAAATCGTTTGGAAACAAGTGGTGGGTGATTCTAATTCGGTACGGTTTGAATTTATTCTTCCGTAGGCAACGTAACACAGTTGTTTTTGGCATCCCTAAATTTTCTTCTATTTCGCGGGATGATATATTAGGATTATATCTGACAGTTTCTACTATTATATTTTCTGCAGCTTCTCTTTCTGGTTTATAATAAATTTTTGGGCGAGGTTTGACAAAAGATCCAAAATCTTTCAAATTTGACTGTAACCTTTTGAATATTTTTGGGTTTGGTTGTATTTTCTCTGGGTATCTATAAGATGATTTGACTGTTAGTTTTGGACAACCGTTTCACTGTCGATTATTCTATCACTTACCTATTGAAATAAAGTTCAGAAGCTAAGTTTTCATCTTCCCCACTTTCCATAAAACACTTGAGCATATCATATTTCTCTTCATTACTAAATTGAACCATTTTTTGTGAATAAGCGTCACAGTTGACAATAATAATTAATGGATTATGGTTGTCATTTCTCCATGGCCTTCTTGAGAAGTAGGAACATAATGAAATGCAATTGGAAGACGACAATAGGAAACAATTCGCACCTCAGTTGAACAAAATATTTCGAACTTTCTCACAGTTTTGAATGATAATTATCAAATGAACGTGAATATTTGTGAATTTGATGAAGCTAGTTAGTTATTATATTTTTCTTCAGTTTTTCATTGACTCATATCAGATTTTTTGAAAAACAACCACTTGTTCTCAAAGTAACTATAGCACATCATATATCGTTCGAAAGGTAATTGAAATTATGATCGAATGGTGAAATAATTTACAGGGTGTCCCATTTAAAAAAATTAAATTAGGTTCATTTCTCGAAAACTGTTCGATGAATAATTTTGCTCTTATCAGTAATCAATTCAACTCAAAAGATTGCTATGAGAAAGTGTTATTTATTTTTTGACAGGACTCACGGTGATCGAGATAATGACGTCACCAACAAAAGGTAAAATCTCAAAAACGCTCTGTAGTTCGGCAGCCAAAAAAGATAGACAATCGCGGTTTGCGCCATTGTTTTTTTCACGAAAATCAAGGTCAGGACACCGTGGTCGGTTTTTGTTTAGCACTGATAGTTTCAGAGGAAACCCCAAATCCCATCGAATTTGGCCCACCCTGTACAGGGTGGGGCATTAGTGTCAGAGCTCGATTACTCGAGTTCTATGATAGCTAGAGACTTGATTCAAGAATGAATGTGAATGAGACAACAATGTCCATAACTATAAATTGTTGCCAAATATACAGGGCGCGCCAAAAGGAATCTAAATGGTAAGGATCATTTTTTTAATGGAATGCCCTGTATATTAGCACATTTTCTGAAACACCCCTGTGACCTTCATTCACCCCTACAATATCCATATTGATATTCTCAACCATTTTTTAATAATAGAACTTTAAAATTCATAGGTTGGCCATTTCCATCGAATCACATTCTTATATCTGTTATTAAAAGATCAAAAGTCCAATATTAATAATTTAATAAACCAGTTTTTTGTTGAAAGAATTGATGGCTGATGACTGGAATCAACGCAAACAGAAATAGTTCATATCAAAGTTTTTCACTAGATAAAAAAAGACAAAATTTCCAATTCTCAAATATCCCATTAATTTATGGCACATTGAATACAAAACCAAGATAATTGAGAAATGGAAATTTCGTCCTTGCTAACTCTGTTAATAACTGGCATAATCATGCATTATTTCTATGTTTGCTTCGATTTTGATATCAATTCTTTCAATAAAAAATTTGGTTTACTAAATTATTGATTGAATTCTGGATCTTTTGATACCAGATAAGAATGTGTATCCATGGAAATTCCCAATCTAACATTTTCAAAGTTCCATAAATGAGACATGGTTACGAATATCAATATGGATGCTGGAATAAAAAAGGTTCCATTCTTGATTCTACATCAAACAGCCAAGAAATAATAATATGTGGGATTTGAAAAAACAAATCATTTTCAGCCACCCTATAAAATTTGAGGGCATGAAGATCCTTCAGAAATATCACGCATCTTTTCATCAAATTATATTGAGAATATTTCCTCAAATTCATAATTGCGACGACGGTGATTTTTTCGGTATGCATCTGATGCAATTTCGACAAAAAAAAATCATAACTTTGACATGATCGAAATATAGTATATAACGATATTATAGAGGTGTATGGAGGTCACAGGGATGCTTAAAAATTGTGATAATACACAGGGCATTACATTTTTCAAACATTATCCCGACCCTCTATATTTTTTTCATTGCGCCCTATACAGGCTGATTCACGGTGGATGGCACATTAGACGTTTCTGGTGAACTAGACAACGGATCATTTTGAAAATTCAATGGAGGGCATATTTAGACATTCTCTAGCCAACTAAAATATTTTCGACAATGCGGTGTTGCCGCGTCTATTAGAAAGCAGTAGCAACTTTGATTTTTCAAATGGAACACTCTGTATTTTATTGCATTTTTAGATTCTCCCTGAAGAGCTGATTTCATCGATGTATCACACTTAGGGTCTAGCGGAAATGATTACAGAGATATAGGGTGTGAAAAATCGACATTTTTCAACTTTAGGATTTTTTTCTGTCGAAACTATTCATCATTGGTCAAAACGGCTCACATGTCCCTATCTCAACTTTTGATTAACTATCTACTGATATTTAATTGGGACATATACCGGGTGATCAAGATTCTGAATTCTGCACCACACTGTATTTGTTTCAATTAAATGTTAGTAGATAGTTGATCAAAAGTTGAGATAGGGACATGTGAGCCGTTTTGACCAATAATGAATAGTTTCGACAAAAAAAAATTCCTAAAGTTGAAAAATGTCGATTTTTCACACCCTATATCTCTGTAATCATTTCCGCTAGACCCCAAGTGTGATACATCGGTGAAATCTGCTCTTCAGGAAGAATCTGAAAATGCAATAAAATACAGAGTGTTCCATTTGAAAAATCAAAGTTGCTACTGCTCTCTAATAGAAGCGGCAACACCGCATTGTCGAAAATATTTTAGTTGGCTAGAGAATGTCCGAATATTCCCTCCATCAAATTTTCAAAATGATCCGTTGTCTGGTTCACCAGAAACGTCTGATGTGCCATCCACCGTGAATCAGCCTGTATATGCGGCAATCATTTCTAGTTATGGATCTTATTGTCACATTTACATCTATTTTTTAATCAAGTTTCTAGCCATTTTGCCTCACTCTGTATACTAGGAATACATAAAAGTAGTTGTACTAGTGCTGTTATTATCTGAATATTTTTTCAACTATACTTTTGAACCTCTTTGTATCCAATGCTCTGATCTCTGAAGGTATATTATTGAAAAAATATGCTGTTTTGACCATTCGTGGATGAGAACCTTAATAAATTTTCATCATTTGATCACCGGGTATAATATTTGTGTGTATCACTGCGAAAATCCGTTACATTTGAGTGGCGTGTTTTGCAGATAATTAGTAGTAATACTCAATAAGTACTTCAAAATATTCAGGTTATACATCGCGGTTTTGTCACTAAATCTAGATTGTTTAGGATAGGTGATCAAAAATGTCGCTGAATCACGAAAGACATTCGCTAAAATGTGGTTACGTTCAGAGTTGGTTTGGCCATTGAGACAATTGACATTTGGGTGTTGAGATACATTTTTGAATTTCTAAAATTTCTAGTAGGTTAAGCTTCGGACCCTTATCGTAAACACTAGTATATATTTCTGATATTTGTTCACCAAAGAATGATTTTTGAGTTGGGTAGAATTTTAGCCTGCCTCAATTTTTTTTATGCATACTCTTAATATTCACCCTGGCTACTGATAAAGAATTAATTCACACATTTTGAATTTATTGAACAAATCATGATAAGCTGTTATTTTGAGTTAAAAATGTCAGTTTTTAATGTGTATCAAAACTAACCTCTCTGCGCTGCTGGAAAGGGACTTCCGAATTTGTCGATATATTCAGCTTCTCTCTCCTGTATATCTGGTTTGCCTTTATATAAAATTGTGACAGCACCTTTGGCACCCATGACAGCTACTTCTGCAGTGGGCCAACAATAGTTGATGTCGCCTCTCAAATGTTTAGAAGACATGACATCATAAGCTCCTCCATAGCCCTAAATAATCAGATAATACCTCATAATACTGAAAATTCTGTCGCATAGCATTTTCGTACATACATACATACAGGGTAACTCACGGTCGATGGTACGTTAGACGTTTATGGAGAACGGGACATAGGATCATTCTGAAATTTTGGTTACTCACGTAGTTGCTCTTGGTCTATCGATAGAAAAATATTTTCAGCTCTGCAGCGTTGCACTTTGTTATTTTGAATGGAACACCCTGTATTTTATTGCATTTTCAGATTTTCTCTGAAGAGCTGATTTCATCGATGTATCACACTTCGGGTCTAGCGGAAATGATTACAGAGATATAGGGTGTGAAAAATCGACATTTTTCAATATTAGGAATTTTTTTTGTCGAAACTATTCATTATTGGTCAAAACGGCTCACATGTCCTTATCTCAACTTTTGATCAACTATCTACTGACATTTAATTGAAACAAATACAGGGTCGTGCAGAATTCAGAATCTCGATCAGCCGTTATATGTCCCAATTAAATATCAGTAGATAGTTAATCAAAAGTTGAGATAGGGACATGTGAGCCGTTTTGACCAATAATGAATAGTTTCGACAAAAAAATTCCTAAAGTTGAAAAATGATGATTTTTCACACCCTATATCTCTGTAATCATTTCCGCTAGACCCCAAGTGTGATACATCGATGAAATCAGGGTATTCCGTTTAGAATAACAAAGCTGTTGCTACTTTTTGATAGAAGCGGCAACGCCGCAGAGCTGAAAATATTTTAGATCGATAGACCAAGAACAACTACGTGAGTAACCAAAATTTCAGAATGATCCTATGTCCCGTTCTCCATAAACGTCTAACGTACCATCGACCGTGAGTTACCCTGTATATTGATTTACGGGGTGTAATTTGAAAACATTCAATGCGAATATCTCGCATCTGTGGTTATGGAAGAAAAGCAGAAAAAGTGAGGAAAATTTTATTGAAACGTGCAATTAAAATATTTTTTAAACACCTGCGTTTTGCTTGGTAAAAATAATATATGCCCTTAGAAACAACAACACGTCTGGAGTGAAGTCGTCTGGAGAAAGGAAAAATAAAGCAGGTTGCAATTTTATCATAAAAAAAGAGAGATTTTTGGTTACCCGATTCTTCAATCCATGGATTCCAGGATCTCGGATTGGAAACCCTTATTGAGATATTGCGTCTACTTCTTCATTCAGTATTATTCAACTTACTTTTCTTGTTATTACAGTCAGTTTTGGAACAGTGGCCTCGGCATAAGCATATAACAGCTTAGCACCGTGTCGAATGATTCCATTATGTTCCTGGGTTACACCAGGCAAGAATCCTGGAACATCTACCAAAGTTATAAGGGGAAGGTTGAAAGCGTCACAAAATCGAACGAACCTAGCTGCCTTCACAGAAGCATTTATGTCCAAACAACCTAAAAGGAATAAAGCAATTCAGTATTTTTTTTGTAAATGGATATATTCGTTGATTCAATGATTCAATGAAAACACATTTAAAATTAATTATAAAAAATGCTGTTTGTTGAAACTAAGATGAGAAATGTCAAATTAATCAAAAAATTACGATTACCTATTTACTTTAATAAGTTTATTGCCTATTTACTTCAATGAGTTTATATCCAAGACCTTTTTAAAACATCGGAAATCCCAAACGAGAAATTGGGCATGAAATAGTTTCATTCATTCTATTGATTCTCAGAGTTATGCCTGGCCTAACCTAACCTGGAATACTCTGTATAAAGATATTAGATATGTTATACTGTTCTTTAGTACCTACTCCAAACGTTCAGTGATAAGACACATTCATTTGGGTGAGTCTGACTATTATGGTACATATGCATACCCTTTTTAGGGCTTAAGGACTAACTATTCGACGTTACGTGAATGATGTCCTTGGAAATATACGATATTAACATGAAGAAACGAGCGAAGGAACTCATTTTCATTTTAGCAGAATTAATTAAAATCACAAATACCTCATTCGCTTTCTTTAGAATGTTTTCTAGCAATTCTGCTGCTCTGGCACTGATTTCCAGACTCAAGTAAAAACTGTGGCACTCAAATTGAATCAGTGGAAGAAAACTATGTAGGTCCTGTTCCTTCAGGAGATTGGTGGACAGTGGCCCATCATGAGATTTCATCAATAAGAGTATTGGTGAAGAGCTCCGTTCAAATTGTTTCAACTCCACTCTGAAGTCTTCATTATCAAGCGAAGTTTTGAATTGGATTACTTCAAAGAGTTGTTCTCAATTAGCCTCTTTCATTTCGAGCCAGTTCACTTTTCAACCCTCCGAAACCAGACTCGGGGCACCATGATGGTTATTTCAGCAGTCTTCTTTGATCTTTCATGATGGTGCGATAAGCCAGACATACTGGGATTCACATTTTTTATACCCGATATGTCTGATACATTGGGTTTTGCCTTCGACCACTTTTTGTATATAAGGAACATATCGGAATTATATTGAATTCACCTACAACCTGTTAGAGCTTCAGATAAATATCGGGTTTCGCCATCATATTCTTTGCACCAAACTGCGTATATACAGGGTGATTCAATAGTGACCGGCATCCTCTCAGGGGCGTATTCCTTGCATGAAAATAAGGCAGAAAGTTTAAATTAATGAGGGTCCAAAAATGCCTCCCAAGGGAACCCTTTGAATAGGACACCTCAAAGACGAATTTTTCTCTATAACACGTCACATGCGGGGAAGGGTAAGTGTGAAAACTTCCCTTCTTCTTTTAATATTCAAGTTATTGTGATTTACGGAAATCAGAAAGTTTTCTAAGTCGATTTTCTCCTAAATGGTACGCTCTATAGAAATGAACTAAGAAAACCTTTTCAAACTCAAACGAAATCACAATAACCTGAGAATCAAAGGAAGAAAGGATGGATGTTTTCAAACTTAATTTTGCAATTTTGAATCCAGAGTCTTATTCACCATCAAATGTTTATGCCGTACACCAGTTTTTGAAGATTTATTGTGGAGGATTTTGAAGTTATACAGAAAAATCAGTCTTTGAGATGTCCTATTCAAAGGGGCGTAGCTATCTTAGGAAGCATTTTCGGACCCTTATTAATAGGAACTTTTTGCCTCATTTTTATGCAAGGAATATGCCCCTGAAAGCATGCCACTCACTTTTGAATCACCCTGTATATATTGGCATTAAAAACGATAATTCGATATTTCATGACACCTCGGATTCTGCCTTAGTATCACAGAAATATGAATATAAATAGAGGTTACGATGTATCTTTATTATGTGCTCAATCCAAACAGAATTGCACAATACATAGTTAAGGCATCTCAACATCAATGATCATGAGAGTTTCCTGAAACAATTTCGAAGGATAGCAGACATGACCTCCAACCTCAGCAATGCCATTTGCTACCTTTCCGGATAACCTACCGTTTGGATCACCCTGCATACATGTATTCATCTACTATACCGTTTCTTACCCGCTGCTACTTTTGGTTGGTTACCAACGATCCCCACGGTTCTTCCATTCATCCTTCCAAAGCCCACAATGATATTTTTGGCATATTTTGGCATTATCTCAAAGAAATCTCTCTCATCAACCAAACTCAATACAACGTCTAACATGTCATATGGGGTGGTTGAGGATGGTGGGATTATAGTGTCTAAATACGGTACATCTAAATTACTGAAAATAATTGTTCTTCATACAATTTCGGTGGCTCCACAAATCGATCAATCAGTTTTCATGCTCACCATGGGTCATCACATTCTCTGATTGGAGCTGGAAATTTATTGGACTGTGGAAGGAATCCCATGAAGTTTCTAAGCTGTAATAACGCGTCTACATCATTTTCGAATGACTTATGGGCAACGCCTGAAATCGACGTATGAGTTTTTGCTCCACCAAGTTCTTGTTGGCTGACGTCCTCATTAGTGATAGACTGGCAATTGAAATAAGAAACAATGAAAATCAGAAGAAATGCGTAATATTAACAAAGGCAATATCAACAATTTCATCAGATATTTACTGGTAAATTGATCAATATGCGACTGGACTAATTTTATTTATTTCTGTCACTCAAATACCTTCTAATTCCATATTTTTTTCGAATGTTTTGGTCGATTTTGAGGTGTCAAAATCATCGATATTGCCACGGTAATTCTCAAACGGCTACAAATTTACCGCGAGTGAAATCTGACGTCACGATTTCGTAAGTAGGGGCAGACCATAGCACAGTTGTCATTCGTTGACATACGATTGAGAAATATTAGCTATTCAATGAGCCATAAATCGTCAATTATGTATTGGTAATATTCCTAATTAGCATTGAAAAATCAATTGTCTCAAAATGTTCCCTGATGTGTTGTGGCTCATTGCTTAAATAATAATTATATCAACACACTAGTGCGGGAAATTTTTCCCGCACTAGCGCGGAAAAACCAGAGATATGGCAAAATATAAGTGGTAGGTGATGAAATATGAGAGTTTGAGTTTGTTTATTGCATATTAAGTATGTATGTTCAGAATCATCCAGCAAATTGCACTATTTATTGTGAAAATTAGGAAATATTGAAAAATGAAAATTGATTATTATAAAAATCCCCTTATAGATTTGGATTGATCTGATGAGAAACGATTATTGTTGTCATGCCAATCAAACCTCAAATGAGTTTGTAATTGTCGAAGTGACAGACACAGCGTTACTGTCATTTTCGATTCAGTGGAATTGCCACAATGTGAACAAAAACTTCCAGCTATACACGCGTTTTATTGAATGGTGCAACAATGAGATGGAAATACCGAATGAATAATAAGTATTTTTGGCTCATTTCCTAGAAGTGTCTGAAACCTAGAAACCAAACACCTTATGGGCCTGCTGGCTTCCGCAATGAACCTACATAATGCGTCAAACTGTGAGTTCACGCTAGCTATTACTGATAATTAGTAGATAGAGAATATGTTTCTCTTGTTTGTTGTTTCTATTTGCATGAATGATTAATTGAACAAATCAATCAATTTCTTACGCTTAGAAAAAATATTGTTCCTAACTCATGCGGAAAGTGTCTTTCCCGCACCCGACTGCATGCCCGAACTCCGCTTCGCGTCGTTCGTGTCAACCGCAGTCGCGTGCGGTTAGGATCACTTTCCGCACTTGTTAAGAAAATTACTATTTGATAACTTGATTGTATATGGTGATTTGGCAACCTTGCTTCATGAGTGGGAATGAAAGATTATATGACCAATAACGAAACAGCATAAAAACTAACGTCACCATTTATACGACGTATCGAATGGCGGAGATGACAGTACGTTCGACATGAGCTTTGAAATTCAACAATTTCGATAAACGGATAGACTCATCATTTACATAAACAAGCGTGAGAAGTATTACAAAAATCAATTTACGTTCCTAACGATACAGTGGAGTAATTGAATGCCAATAATTCAATATTAGTCAACTCGCCTATTAGAGTAACTTTTAAGGCTCTAAACAGTTCAAACTTTCATTCTATGAAGATATTTCAATGCGTGAATGACAATATAATGGACATGTTCATAAAAGTCCAGTGATATTAGGATTTTATTTTACGATTTCATGGCAGTAATGGCTCCGTAAGTGTGCATACATACCTATCGTTCAAGAAAATTCTCCAAATCGTAGCTGAGTAAAAATTTGTTTTTAGATGATTCAAAATTAGACCCTTCCTATATGTACCAGTACGGAGATATCGAAATAACTCGACTCTTTTACGTAGCAAAATGAACAAATGTCATATTATTTTGAAGCGAACATGTGAAGAATTTTCAACTTCAATGAACAATATTTTTTTCAACAAATCACAAGTTCATCCATTGCATGCATACCGACTAGGCACATTCGATACCGTCCTGTACGCCCTATACTCAGAACCACTTCAAGACATTTGTAACGATGAAATCGTGATTTTTCTCTTCCTTTGAAATCTGGTGATCTTTAAATGTGAAAGGTTTTGATATACTGCAGTAATCCTAGTCATGAAGAGATTTGATTGGGATCGAAAATTGAATTTACCTTGACAACTTCTGGACCAGTGATGAAAAGATATGATGTATCTTCAACCATAAACGTGAAGTCAGTTATGGCAGGTGAATACACTGCTCCACCAGCACAAGGTCCCATTATAAGAGAAATCTGTGAAATGGTATCTATGGTTATTATTGTTTATATCAATTGAGAGCAGAAGAACATGTATAACAGTTATGAATATCATCTTCAATTATCGAAGAAAAAGTACGCTATTTTCCTAAAAAAAATCATTCATTTTGATGTTGCCAACCCGAAACCTCAAAGTACGAAATTGTACTAATAAGTATAGATAACTATGTTTGTCACAGATGTATATGTTCACTTCCACGAGATAATACAAAATCTTTCTCAAGGAGAATACAATTGGAACAGGAATTCGAAAATGTATAAAAAATCCTACAACTTCGAAATAAGAGTGGCCACTGGGTGATCTATTCATAAGTGCAAAAACAAAATGGTGTATTATAGTCTATCATTGAACGTCTTTTACGAATCATCTGAGTAAATTCAAACTGAAACCTACAAAGAAATTTTACTGAAGTACTGAAACATTTCAGGATTTCTCAGTGTAAATGGCAGTATTGCCAACTGCATCATGATTTATAATCGACTTATCTTTGTAATTTTTTTTTCTATTTAACATTCTTTGAACTCCATTCGGGAGGAGAACCCACTGAATATTTCTTCGGATTCTTATATAGATCACCCTGTAAAATGTTGTCTTCAACATCTATGTCAGTTGAACACTCAATAGAAACTGTTTTTCATCTACTTGTGGAAATGCATTTGAGAAGATATCGATGTTTCATTATTATTCCAAGAGAATCTTTAATTGGGTTGTGTTGTGATAATTGTTACCTACTTAATAGGTAGATACATTTCGTAGTAGAATGTTTTATAGTCATCCTAGTAAAAAATACAAAATTCCATCATTTTTAGGTTTTGAGAACTGATGGCAGATTTCAATCCCATCAGAATGATGAAAAAATCATAGCTCCAATCAATTCGAGGTGCTAAAGTGCTACTTCACCCCCGAGAATCCGGTCGACAAAGTGTCACTTTACGCCCGGTCGTGCATAAAAAACTGTATTCACCTGGGGTACGACTCCTGAGGCTAATACATTTCTTTGGAAGATATCCGCATACCCAGCCAAAGACGCTACCCCTTCTTGTATCCTAGCGCCACCAGAATCGTTGAGTCCCACTACTGGTGCTCCTACTAATATCGCTTGGTCCATGATTTTGCATATTTTGGTGGCGTGGGCGCTGGACAAGCTGCCGCCAAAAACAGTGAAATCTTGGCTGAAAACGTACACGGGTCTGCCGTTTACCAAACCATGGCCGGTTATAACCGAATCACCTGGAAACTATCAGACAATGAATGAACGTGGAAACATTATTCGCACTGCTCGGAATGTTTTCGAACAATCGGTCCGATTCACTAAGAGCGTGGTTATTTTAACAACTGCACTGAGGAAAATTGTGCTATAAGAGTTTTTGCTGAGATATTTCTTGATATCATTACAAGAAATCATATTACCGTTATACATTTTCGAATAGAAGCAGCACCTTGAAATTCTATGAATAGCAATAACAACTTTGCTGAAAGTTAATTTTCTGCCACAGGAAGGTATACTGCTGTCGCTTTCAGGCAGCCACTCTGGGACAGCATGATTTTTTTTTATAATTCTCTATAGCTGAACTACTACTAGTGAAATATATGCTTGTGGTTGCGAGGTTCATCGCATAGAACAGCACTCACTACCAATAATACAACTGTCAGTCTGCCACGAAAATAATATTTGACGAACCTATTTGGGGTTATTTAGCGCCTACTTATCGTTATTCGATATTTTGCTGATTTGTCCCCCTCTATATAAGCATTTGTTAGACAACTTGCTGGATCAATCATTCACAGTTGGGCTCTTGATGTAAACCCATGTACAGGACGACAATCTCGACGACACGACAGTTACGAATACTTCCCCTCTTGAATTCAATTCATTATTAAAAATCTTAATCTGAATTCGAATATAAAATGAAAACATTTTCAAACAAATAAAAAATCTTCAAGAGGACAAACTCAAAGTCTCGCTCCAAGTGGAGCGAGACTTTGAGTTTATTCTCTTAATTATCTCATCACCTCCAATTTGAGCATGGACTACTACCAGAGATATAAAAAATCTTCTGTGTCCCTTTCAGTGCTTTCGTAGATCTGAGTGCTTCAGTTATTACTAAGATTGATGGAATGATAAAGTTGAGTTTTTCGAGGTATTTCGACTGAAATTCAAATATTTTACATTCAACATTTCCTTCTTTTTGGTACCATGAAACTTTAAAATTGTCAAATATGTTACAGAGCTTCTCTATAGAATGTGGTCTGAAAACTTATTGTGAGAAAATTGTCCGGGTTATGAAATTATTTGAATGATTTTACTGGTAACATTTTGTTTTCCTGTACGCATCTGTAATAACTTGCCTAGTTTTCGAAATACAATGGTTTCAGAAAGTTTGAGAAAACTCCTTTTCTCATCAATTACTCGAAAACCTTTTGTTTTTCCTGATGGGGGTGCATGAATCAATTAATCTATTGAATTTCAAAGATCATTGATCCGAAATTTTCTTTAGGAATCAATAAATTGCTATTCATACCAAACATCAGGGTGGAAATTATGGGAAGTGAAATTGGATATCAGTCAAAATTTCACCTTTCTTGATGAAAACATTCCTGGAAAATAAATGAATAACTACAGTAAGAAGGTCATGCAACTATCTATATGATCACCCATCGAGAGTTCCCTACCAACGATTATAACATTGCCCTACTCCCTTTATTAAATGCACTCACTAGCGGTAGCAAAGTCAGATACCTACTATAGGAACATCGTCTAATAGCAATATACAGGTGGGTTATAATCAGCAAAATCGACTTTATAATCACAGGTGATAACACGCTTGTCCCCTATGCTATCAGAATTTCTTGCTGGGGTAATTCGTTTTCTGACTATGGTTGATAGGAATTTTCCTCAGTGTGTCATTCGGGTGGTTAATATGAAGGTCAGTGGTTATTTGAACCACTTACAGATTTTCTGATTCTCTAAGGCATAGATGGATAATAAATTAACAACTGGTCAAGTTTTTCCCACTTTTTGTAGTGGCAGATATCCACTAGCTTCTTCTAGTGATTTGTGGAGTGGAACTATTTCAAGGAAATGTTATTCATCTGTTAATGCTAGAGGTAATTCTACGATAAGTATTAAATATATCTACCTGATTATTTGTGAAAACAAGAAAATTACCTATTCCACTAGATGGATGGCATCAAACAATTGTATTTTGAGGGATTCAACAAATCCATCCTTAAATTTCGGGAAATCTGTCACATGCCAAAAGTATTGGTTTTAGAAGTTTTTAAACCATTAATAGAACCACGGATACAAGACGGTGGGCTACTTTCATTCTATTACATGTGAAAATAAATCTCAGTTGAATTTTTGTAATATATCAGTATATATATTATAACTAATGCCTAGTATTTCAAATACTTGCTGTTTTCCATTTATTCGCAAGAGGATCCTATCAGGGGGGCTGATTCTAATGTATATAGCAAAGTCTCAACCAAGTGCTTGTAGAGTATATCAATGGGCGTGTATCTTAGTAGAACTTTTAACTCAAACCATGTTTAAAATGATCCTTTTATACATAAATAATGATTGACGACATAATTCGATCGAAAAATCAACTGGAATGTTTTATTTTTGGACATAAATAATAGTACCTTCTGAAAACGGACCCTCTTATGACGTTGAAACCTCATCTCGCCATAGTTAAAAAAAAAATAGAAACGCTCGACGGAGACTGAGGCAACTGATATATTAATTCTCTCAACTGTGATCTCGCGCTAATTCACTCTATCAGAAATCATGTATGCATAGTATTGTTTCAGTATTAGGGTATTGACGTCACATCATCGCCTCGTTTTCAGAGGTCCGAAAAATCGGGGGTTTGAATAATTTTTTATAAAACGTAGGCAGCTCACAGCAAGGAACGGTTTGCGGTGGTGAGCTGGTTTGGGTGAGTTCTATCGAATTATGAAATAAATTTTTTTCGTGATATAAGCCCATTAAACGGAAAAACTTTACACAAACCCCGTGGGTAATATAATTTTCAATTAAGCTTTCCAGAAAGATTCCGAAAATTAAATGATATATAGGGTAGTGTTTCATTTGAAAAAATTGTCTCGGTCGTCATTACTCAAACGTGATTCACCCTGTATGTTTTTTTTAATATTTATGGTGAATTGAAAACAAAAATCGACCTGTTTCAGAAGGTTCCTAAGAAATAAAGAGTTTGGCAAAAAATTATTATATTCAGTACCTTACGAAACCACTGTATTATTGTCCTTCCCTTCATTGTTTCATTACTAATATTTGTTAATATTTTAGCTATTAAATCCTTCGCTCAAAATATTGAGATTTAACTCAAATCACTCAGATAAAATCTTTCTCCTGTTGAAGTTTCATTTGCGTAATGAATGCAATCCAATGATCCAAAACTTCAACAAAGGCTATATTCCGAATTAAACTGACAGTACTGATTACTGAAGTATGTGAAAAATTTCTTCATTTTGCTTTCACTGATGGTTTCGGAGATATTAAATGATTGATTATGAAGTATGTTTCGACCCAAACTTATAGGAACTTTTTTTTTCTTATTTTTGATCGAGGAAACTTCTCTTGAAGGATGGCATGATAATTTTGGGACACCATGTATAGGTCAGTATGATTATACCGCGCCTATACCCACAAATGGTGAGGTCACGAGCCGATATACTCTGGATATATGTTACTTACCTTCTGCTTTTCCATACCAAAATCTGTACAAGAATGTTCAACGAACATATCATATTCCACAAAACTGTCATGGTCACAAAAGAGTGTGATCCTTTCCCTTGCAGTCAATTTGCCCTAGAAAAACATCACAATATACCAATTAAAAATAAAATAAATCACCCGGTGGTTAGCAATTTGACCGCCATTATATTTTCAGAACAAAATAAAATATTGTGATTTTTTGGGACTTTTAGATTCATCTCAATGGTTTTTGCCCGACAAAATTGTGAAATATACAGAGAAGCGCACAAACGGCCAGGACTGTAACTTATTACGAATTATTCGAGATAGGGTTTTGAAAATTTTTGTTCTATTTCTTCTGGTTTTACTGGAAACGACCCCAACTCTTGATTTTTGTATGACATATAATCTACAAATTTTAATAAAAGATTTCAATACCTACCTCCTCTCCCTATCGTCTCTACAGAACTCAAGTGATCCTCTCCCGGTACGCTTGATGTTCTCCGAACATTTTAAGGGTTTTCCTTCCATGCGCCCCAAGAGATGAAAGCATATTGTTCTACCCAAAAAAGGAATCTAAAGGCCTGAACGAAGTTATTTTAGTTGGGACGTACACACAGGGTATATTGTTATTGTTTAACCTGCTGCGCTGCCGATGACGATAAAAATAATAATGTTCTAACCCATATGTTGGGTCATGAATTATTACTTAATTTGATATGATTGGCCAATATTGATTTACAAAACACTAAATAGATGAAATCATGTTATCTAGATGCAACTACCTATACAGGGTTTTTCTTAAGTACGTGTAGAAAATTCAGGAGCATGTTGCTGACGTCAAAATGAGAAGAGAAAGTGGTATAAACATAGGTCCAAAAGTTATCCGTTTCTGAGATACAGAGTGTCAAAGTTGAATTCCCATTTTCATTTTTTTTTAAATTCCAATATAATTATGATATTGCAATGAAATTTGGTTTCTAGGGGTATTTTTCAATGACAGTATGAACTGTTATGTTAGTTTGTCTCTTTCGTAAGGGTGGCACCACCTACCTGGCTTTTGAGTCTTTTGAAAAGTCATAACTCTTTTGTGCGTACCTGTATAACGTTTTATAGTAGAGAAATGGATTTCTAGAACACTTTTGGGTGAAAAGTATGATCATGGTAGAGGTCGCTGCGAGCAACTGTTTGCGAGTTATTGGTATTTGAAATAATCAATGCAAGTAATTTGGAATGACAAGAAGGTGGAATTCAAAATTAATTTATGAGTAAGGGAAATTATTTTTCTTAAATTTCATAAAAAAATAGGAATCGGGTGTTATTACAATTCGATACTAATAATGATAACAGTAATCATAGATAAAACACACTCTAGTTGAAAAGCTTGGATCACAAGTACAGAAGGCAACAAACTTCACTGTCACAAGAACGGATTGAAATAACATGACAAAGTAGGTACTCACTTTTGATTGTTATTTTTTTAAATTGGAAGAGTCCAAAAAAGTAGGTACAAAGAAGTATCATATTTTGCCTACATTCCAATGTTGAATGTAAGAGAATATTGAATGAAAGAAGAAAAATGCACTGGCGTATATTTTCTGATATTCACTAGCGGCGCCTTACGAGCCACAATGAAATAGTTCAAATGCATCGATTATTTCGAATCCCAATAACTCGAAAACAGTTGCTCGCTGCGACCCCTCTACCAAGAATATATTTTTCACACAAAAGTGTTTTAGGAATCTATTTTTCTACTATGAAACGTTATACAGGAACGCACAAAAAAGTTATGAATTTTCAAAAGACTCAAAAGACATGTAAGTGGCGCCACAATCACGAAAGAGACAAAATTACATAAAATTTGATATTGTCAATGAAAAATACAGATGCCAAATTTTATTCGAAAATCACAATTATTTTGAAATTTATCAACAAAAAAGAAAAATATAAGGATTCAACTTTGACACTCTGTATCTCAGAAACGAATAACTTTCGGACATATATTTATACGAACTTTTCTCCTTATTTTGACGTCAGCAACATGCTCCTGAATTTTCTACACGTACTTATAAGAAACACCCTGTATTCTTCTAAGGTATTCAATACCGTCAAGTGGGGTGTTGTTGAACAGTGATCGAGGGCAAGCGAGTGGACATTTTTTTTTGTTTCTCATATAAATAGAATCATTGGAACAGCTAGGTATATATTTTTTAAATATCATTCTAACGTGAACAGGCGAATATGGATATTTGTATAATTATGGTACCTATATCAACTTATACATTTTTTAAGATAGTGCAAAATTCCCTGCCATGATCAATAACTTTTCCACGTATATTTGTATCTGAAAAGTGTTCCAAGTATCCCCATTCTACGGTATATTGTTACACAAAAAGGTGATTTGACTTCATTATATTGGAGAGCTCTTGATCCCGTATAGTCAATAATATTTTATATTGGTATTGGTATATCCAGATGGTCCTAATAGGCTGTTGGCCCGCGACACAGGGTTTATCGATGTTCTAAGTCGGTATGCCATTTAAGGGACCCACTCACTTAGTCCAAGTTAACAGGAAGGAGTGCCTCGGAGAGTCACAACCCAGTCCTTGCCCCGGCCCTGACCTCACCTTTCGGTTGGAAAAAAGTTCAAAATTTTGTTTAAGAAGAAGCTCGGCAATGAAGTGCAATGATCTTATCTCACGAAAATTGGGGCGCTTGCCGGTTTGCATACGCCTAGGTCACTCCCCACGGGCGGCATACGAACCGGAAGTGGCAATTTTTCAGTGTTATAGTCGATGATCGAAGAATGTATGCCCTTTGGCAAAACAATGAATTCTGACCCATTAATCAGTTTCACGACATTTGCATACGATTCCGGAGAGGGGAGCTCGACTTATTCGAACATCAATTGTCTAGACATCTTTCAAATAATCGATGATTTAAGTTCGTATGCAAATCTCCAGACCGATAAACTAGGATATTCTTCATAACTGGCTGCTATTTGCATACGAATTCAATGTGAGCATACGATTTAATAATCGGGCAAACCCGCGCGTGCCTCGGTCCGGCGCGGCGCCCCGCACTTCAGCCCAGAGGTGCACCGAAAGCGAATACTTGATAATCGGGAAGTCTCATAATCTCACTTCACATGAAACCGGGTCAAAGAAAAACTTCCTGGGAGTGATGGGGATATTCGAAGACGCAAATTGCAGATATATTTGTATTTATTCATCTGAAATTTACAGCTCAACAAATTTACATGTGTGAGAGGTTTAGTACCAAGAAATTATTTTGTGTGATTTTAATTTGAAAAACAGGGCTTTGAAAAAATGATGGAAAGAAATGACAACAAGATACTCGCAGGATGATGAAGAGGAATCGTACAGGGATTTTTGCTCATGATCGAAACTCACAATAAATCGAATTGAAAAATCTTGGCATGCTCGAAAGATATACCTGATACCAACTTTCTCAGTTGAAGTCTCAGAGATTATGATATCATCAACCTCTGCTGGAAGAGCTTCACCAAGGTACTAATTGAAATCGTACCCAAAAAAAAAGTATCAAGGGCCCACCTCCTTCATTATTTTTTATGTAACTGACAATGACATAACTTCATCAAACCCAGTATAATTGACTGGCGTTTAGCGATAAGATTCACACGCTGCACTTGGTAATCCGATTCATACCACTGGTAGGGGAGGCAGAAGGAAGTGAATAAATCTGTAATATACATTATACAAAAGTAAATGGTTTTTCAGATATTTAAATATCGGATCCCGATAAAGGGGAAGAACATTATTGAATGCCTGAATCATTAAGTGCTACACTCTACCCGGCTGACGCAGCAAATCATTGTTCAGATATGAAAATTGTTTCAGCAAAAAATAGGGAATACTCCAAACCCGGGATTCATATTTCTGGCACAATTTGACAATTTGGCGCATGATCGCTATATATAAGAGTGCTGCGTGTAAATGATATCGCTAGATGCTGTATTCGTCATGATAATCTCAACTCGATAGTGAAATAAAATATAGTGTTCCAGTAAAAAAAATCAACCACTATCCCATAGTTCATTTGTTATGAACAGCCTGTGAAATTTTGATAACAATGAAAAATCTCTTAGGAAAATCATTTTAATTGGTTTTTGAAATTTTAAAATCGGTTCAGAAACAACTAAGTTACAATGGGAGATATTCATCGTGAAACACCCTGTACGGAATGTGCAAATTGTATGCAAACCATCATCTCATATATACTGTGTGGTCCACTAACCATTGTCAAAATTTGAACATTTCTTCGATTATCGATTATTTGAAGAATATCCAGTCAAATGATGTTCGAATAAATCGAGCTCCCCTCTCCGGAATCGTATGCAAATGTCAGGAAACTGATTAATGGATCAGAATTCATTGTTTCGCCAAAGGGCATACATTCTTCGATCATCGACTATAACACTGAAAAATTCCCACTTCCGGTTCGTATGCCGCCCTTGAGGAGTGACCTAGGCGTATGCAAACCGACAAGCGCCCCAATTTTCCTGAGATAAGATCATTGCACTTCATTGCCAAGCTTCTTCTTAAACTAAATTTTGAAAGATTTCCCAACCGAAAGGTGAGGTCAGGGCCGGGGCAAGGACTGGGTTGCGAATCTCCGAGGCACTTCTTATTGTTAACTCGGACTGAGTGAGTGGGTCCCTTAAATGGCATACCGACTTAGAACATCGATAAACCTTGTGTCGCGGGCCAACAGTCTATAAATCATTGAAATTGTCATGCAGAAAAAAATATTTCAATGACAGTTGGTATATAATATGTTTTTTATGTTGGTTAGGTACCTATTGCAATTTTTGTTTTTTTTTATTATTTACTTATTTACATAACTAGTTAAATAACATATGGTCAATGTCTTGTGGGCTATTTTTTTCAACAAAAGAACAAAGAAAGATTTTTATATCTAGGACATCCTCTTATTAATAGACGGGTCCATATTATAATATTATATACAGGGTGTCCCGAAATAAGCCTGCCAAACTTCACCAGCGGCTTCTTCGACCAAAAAGAGAAAGAAAAGTTTTAATGAACATAAGTTAAGAAATGTCTCCTAAGGGAGCTACGGCCCCCTGAAAGGGGGCTACTGAAGATGATATTTCTTGAATATTTCCGAAACGCCACAAGATGATATGATGCAATTCGGTACAATAACTGAACTTACCATGCCCAATGCGGTGAACATAATTTCAAAGTTTCATTCAGGAGTGTATAATACACGGTGGGGGACTACATTAAATATTGCTCAAACTTTTTCATTTGCATATTTTTTGACAATTCAATCTCGGATTATGAAAATTCACACCATATCACTAAAAAAACTGATCTTTTTCCGTATCGATCGGATGTATCATCTTCGAGAGAAATCGATTTAAAAATATTGATGCACTCACATATCGTATGCATAATGTTGGCAATTTTCAAATCATAGTGGCTTTAAAAAAATCAAGTTCTTTCTTTTCACCAAACAATCTCATAAAACGCGAAAAATATAAAAATAATGATAAAACGACTACTTCAGTTTTTGTGATTTTTTTTTCCATTTTCACTACGCCTCATTGAGGCATGATATCTAAGGTGTAACAATATTATTAAATTGCTTTTACCCGATAATGATATATCTGATCTTCACGGAACAATAGTACCTTTTTTCTGTAAATAGGTGTGAAATTTCATAATCCAGAGATTGAATTGTCGAAAAATATGCATACAAAGAATTTTTAGCAATATGTAGGTATAGTCACACCCTGACACTCCTGATTGAAATATTGAAATAATTTGATTTTCACTGCATTCGGCATGGAAATTTTAGTTCTTGTGCCAAATTGCATCTTTTTATTACTTGGAGTTTCGGAAATATTAAAGAAATATCATTTTCAGGAGCCCCCTTCCAGGGGGCCGTAGATGTAGATCTCTTAGGAGACATATTTCTAGACTCATGTTCATTGAAAGTTTTCTTTTTATTTTTGGTAGTAAAAGCCGCTGTTGAAGTTTGGCAGGCTAATTTCGGGACACCCTGTATACTATACTTACTTCATATCACTATGATAGCAGTAGCTATGAGATAGTCCCGTGGGCATGTGGGTATATAATCTGAGGTTACAAACATGATAGAACTACCAACAAATTGTAAGAAAAATAAATAACTTACCTTCTTGTGTTGTGTATCTATCCTTTTCTGTCCACCTCCAAGCAAAGCCTCTGCTCTCTTCTCTTTTATTCTGTCAATGACTTTCAATGTGTGTGTTGCTGTGCTGTATTTCAGTTGAGTTTTAAAAACATTCTCCACATTTTTCCTCACACAAAACAACAAATGTTTATTGAGGGAAAACGTGGGCATCGTCGTTAATTAAGGAATACGAATGTGTATTTAGTATTTAGAAATAATGGTCCGACCAACAACCAACACTTTATCGATGCTTGATACGAACGAGATTCCAGTTTCTTGATAACTGCTTATAGTGCTTATACGTATACGACCTTCAGAGCCACACAAATTATTTATAATCTTTTATTTTATATTTGCTTCAGATAAAATGGAGATTTGAACGTTTCGAAGGCAGTGCCGGAGTTAGGGTTGCCACCTTTTGAAATCTGTAGACCCGGAGATTGTGGTACATTTAAGGAGCCTCATGAAAACACAAAGAAATGGCGCCGCAGGCGGATTGTTTTTTGGTTCAAGGTCAACTGCCTTTAAATTGAAAATATATTTTTTGCCAGGTATGGACCGAGAGCACAACATGTCTGTTTATAAATGGATTCACGAAAAAGAAAATGGCTTGATGCCATAGACCTTCCGAAATTTTCTACCTGTACAAGTGAGTACACGGAAGATTATGAAATGAAATATTTTTATTAAACATAATCAAAAAACAATTCACAAAAAATAAGAAAACACATAATATGGAAACAAAATAACAATTCATGAATAAACAAAAAAAAACTAATTCATAGAGAAACAAAATAAAAACAGTCCTATATATACAAAAATAAAATAAATCAATCTTTGAATTTGAATTTATATTTCGTGTTTGAATTGCAAGATATTAGTCAGGCGACTGTAACCAGAAACCAGACCTCGACTCTAGACCTCTCCCCTCCACGACATGAACCAAACTCAGTAATATAATTGCCACTGTTGCCAACTTTCCTCCGATGGAGTAGGTACTTTTGAATATATTTATGATTTTTTCGTGTCCGGACTGGCCCGGAGAATTAAGTATCCAACCCGGAGCCCGTAGGAGCCCTACTGAAACCCGGAGACTCCGGGTCAAACCCTGAGAGGTGGGAACCCTAGCCGGAGTTGTGGGATGATTTTGTAGGATATAAAAATTTATAATTGTATCTATTCCAGGAAACATTAATATATTGTATATCTCTATGCATCAGAAATTATTCATGAAGTCAGTCGAAAACGGTTACAATCAGTAGAATCAGAATTCAAAATTGCCAAGATAGTAAAAGATATTTTTATGGTTATATACAGGGTGTTCCGTACAGACCACGTCAAAGCTAGGGAGAAGGATAACCCACCTGCTATGACAGACATATAATTCCCATCATAAAAGTCTTACCGTTTTTGAGATTTTTTTGTTGAAAATATTGAATTTTTGTCCCTTTCAATAGTTTTGTCTGTACGTTTGGTACGATTTTACACCTTTACTTACTATAACTTTGGTAGTGATCCGAATATTTTCAAATTTTCAAATGAACTGGACTCTATATATATCAAAGGGATCGTGAGTTAGCAAGCTCAAATTATGAAAAAGGTGCCCATAATATAGATGAAAATGCATACAAATAGATTTATTGAAAATCAATTACAATAAACCTCGATTGACCTCAAACTAGAAATACCGCCCCTCCTTTCCTTACTTTAGAGTCCGAGAATAGGTGTCCATTTCACACACAATATAGACGAGTACAGCTAGCAGCAAACCTTGACAAGCAGCCAGTAGGATTTATCACTAGCATACCACTCGTTGAAGCTTTGAGGGTACCAAGTAAATACTTTTGTATATACTCCACTACTGTTGACGTGTTATTACGATGGCACTTTGGCCATTTAAGTACATCTCCACAAGAGATGGCGAAAGATTACGGGCTCTGTGCGTAGGTATACGCAATCTGGATCCCAGCGAGCACAAACATCCCTGGGATGTTTTGAGATGTTTTGAAAATGTTGGCATGAAGATGTTATTTTGAGACGTAATATGCACTGACCAAAGAGGTCTTTGAAGGATATTGAAGTATTGTTTTTGTTCTTCAGTGGCATTTCTTTGTTTGCCTACTGAGAGGTATCCCTGGGATGTTTTGGGATGTTTTAGAAATGTAGGCATGAGGATGTTTTTTTTTTGAGGCGTAATATGCACTTCCCAAAGAGGTCTTAGAAGGATATTGAAAGTATTGTTTTTGTTCTTTTGTGCCCTTTCTTTGTTTGTCCCACCACAACGTCTCATGCTTACGTCACAATACGATGAATTCTGATCTGTTTTCGATTTTGTTCTTCTTGTTCGCAATTAGCATTCGCGTTTGCAGCGTGTCACGCTTACATCACGCTGCTAACGAACAGAAAGGAATTTGGTGAAGTTTATTGTGTTAGAAGACTTGTGTGTTCGGTGCCTCAGTGTAATCAATATATAAAAGTACGAATTTATCAATACACAGCTTCTCCGCAGTTGCAAAATTATGCATTGTGGAGAACATTTCAAAAATTGGGAAATCTATTTCCAATTATATGTCTGTGTGTAGTAAGCACTACTCAGAAACCGATTAAGAAGATAATTTCATATCAAGAAAATATTTTTATGTTCAATCTATTTTTAATGCATTTTTTCATTTAAGGGAAATGGAATCCTAATGCAAAAGTTCATTTTGACAAAAGGCTTCAGAAAAGTACCTCGAAAATGGTTTTTTACAGCGATTTAATGTGCGCAAGACGCGTTGAAAATGTTTTGTTGTGTCCATGAAAAGGTTTTAAAAATAACTAGGGAGAAGGTAGTTTTGTGACATATCAAGGACATCTCGATAATTGCCGCCTGCGGCGGACATTGGCTGTTCTATAATAGTTCTATTCATGTGTGAACAGAACATCGCAGTGGAGGTTCAATGTCTGGAAATCTCGTACTTTTAACATCTCTGAGATGTTTTTGTGCTCGCTGGGATCTGGAAGCGATGTGCACCGCACCAAATGCCAATCACCTCTGACCTCCCTCTCTAACATCCTCTCCCTCTTTCTATCTTTCCCCGCGCCTTTAACGCTGGTAAACCTTATAGCTATCTCACTGTGCCCAACAGAAGCTTGTCAGGAGTAACCATACCTTTGAAGACATTCATTTCGATGCATGGTATTACTTTCAGCAATAACCTTTCTTGGGAAAATCACGTGAGATCAATTGCTAAAAGTGCATCCCAAAAACTTGGTTTTCTGTTTCAGGCCAACAGCTATTCCACTTCCAGCCAGCTGCTAATGATCTATAAGGCACAGATCCGACCTGTCCTGGAATACTGTTCCCATATTTGGAGTGCAGCACTCAAACATGTCCAAAAAAGGGCAATTCGTCTTGTGGGTGATGCCTCGCTGGCAAACTCACTCACTTCTCTGGGACACCGTAGACAAGTTGGCGATCTGGCTCTATTTTATAGATTTTTTCATGGACGATGATGCTCTTCTGAAATATCAACAATTGTTCCTCCTTTGGCAGTCCCCGCGAGATTAACCCGTCGAGTTGAAGCTTCGCACCTCTTGGTGGTCACTCTGGATACCTGCAGAACATCTATTTCCAAAGACTCGTTCATATAACGAACAGCAAGGCTCTGGAACACATTGCCAAGGGAGGTGTTTCCCGAGGCATACAACCTCCAGAAATTTAAGAACAACACCAATTCCTACCTTATTTTCCTTGGTTCTCACGATGTTCTCTGAACATTACAGGATATCTCTTTTCGTGGGAACCAGAACATAAAAAAAACCTTAAAGGGGCTAAACATCATCAGGAAGCCAGGGGTACAACGATAACCCTAACACGCGTTCCGGATCACTCTCAGACATCCCAATGATTCTCACGACATGTATACCAGCGTACACATAACCTGACAGATGAAGAATCTGGAATCATCTCGAAACAATCGATGAAACAATTAGAGAGAGAGATATTGTTCTAGAACAAAATAAGGGTACGGAAGATCATTCGAGAACGTTCGAGAAGCAAAGCCTGCCACGGGATCTGATATACAGGGTGTCCCTAGACCAGTGGGACAGTTGAATATCTCCTGAACCAATAGGAATTTTCAAAATATTATAATTTCACATCATATCGCATTATGAGGGCTAACTTCAGGAATGACTATATTATATACGAGGGGCGCAAGAAAGGCTCCCAAAATCGAACATCATTTTTTTCAAATGGAACACCCTATATTTCATTGCATTTTCATATTCTCCTTGAAGAGCTGAATTCAACAACCTAGCACACTTGGAGTCTAGCGGGTGTGATTTCCGAGATATAGGGTGTGGAAAATCGAGATTTTTCATTTTTGGGAATTTTTTGTGTCAAAACTATTCATTATTGATCAAAACGGCTCACATGTTCATATCTTAACTTTTGATTTACTATTTACTCAAATTTAATTGAAACAAATACAGGGTGGTGTAGAATTCTGACTGAAATTGAGAATTCTACACCACCATGTATTTGTTTCAATTAAATACGAGTAAATAGTAAATCAAAAGTTGAGATATGAACATGTAAGCCGTTTTGATCAATAATGAATAGTTTTGACACAAAAAATTCCCAAAAATGAAAAATCTCGATTTTCCACACCCCATATCTCGGAAATCACACCCGCTAGACCCCAAGTGTGCTAGGTCGTTGAATTCAGCTCTTCAAGGAGAATATGAAAATGCAATGAAATACAGGGTGTTCCATTTGAAAAAAATGATGTTCGATTTTGGGAGCCTTTCTTGCGCCCCTCGTATAAAATATAGTCATTCCTGCAGTTAGCCCTCATAATGCGATATGATGTGAAATCATAATATTTTGAAAATTCCTATTGGTTCAGGAGATATTCAACTGTCCCACTGGTCTAGGGACACCCTGTATATATGAAGGGTGCAGGGAAAAAACAAGGAATGTCATATTTTTACAGAAATTGGGATATGCATTGCTTTACGAAGACAGATTCGTTCTTGATATTCTCTACCCATAAGTCTGCGAAAAACTCGTATAGTCTATCAGTAAACATGCCTTGAAATATCGTAGAACGGTTAAAAACAGGGAATGTCCGCCCGGAAATTTCAAAGAACTAGGAGAGTCAATATCAGCAGGTACACACAACCCGAATTCTTCGCAATTTAAATCAGTCTTTGCTATCTAATCGTCAGTCACGTCCGCATCAGAAATAAACAAGAGTTATAGAATTTCATAACATGATAACTGGGAGCAAAAGCCTATC